TTTCTCTCTCCTGTACTTTTCCCAGAAAAACACTTATTGTCTTAGCAATGTGCCTGCTCACACAGCTAGAGTTAAATCCTCAGTTTTCAGTTACGGTTTCAGTTATTGATGAGCTAAACAGGTCCCATGCAGGTTATTGTACGAGAAAGAACCTCAACTTGTCTTTAAAGTCATAAAATTGTCATCCTGTAACAGCACTACACCTTGAAAGCTTCAACTGCTCCCAGTTGTTAAAAAGAACCTGTATGAATTGGGACTGTCAAGACACAGCTGGAACTTGGAGGTCTAATGTCAACCAACAATGCACCTCTTACATGAAGTGAGTGGGCATAGCTTAAAGAATCACCTAAGCCTTAACTCAGAGTCCTTAAGCCCTCTTTGCAACTCCACAGTGGTAGCTGGTAGGAACTGGATATAGGTAGGTAAAGAGTAAAATTTTTAACAGATACAGCATGACACTTCAGGAAGAATGACTTAAGCTAATTTTATAGCATCTTTCAGATTTCTGAGCCCCAGCTTCCTCTGAACTACTCTTGGACTGCAGTGTGGCTTGTAATCACACTGGGACTAGGGGACATCCCTCAGGGTCCCCAGCTCTCTTCCTTGCTCACTCTTGCTCTACTTTCAAAGGAGCCTGCAGTGACTGTGTCAGGGCAATCTCCTCCGGATATCTAGTAGCATTTCAGGGCATAGACTGGTCCCAAACAGGAGAGGAGAACTTTTCGGTAGCTCTTATTTGAATTCAGTGGATTTGATCATGTTGTAAATTTCCAATATAGTTATTTGATGTTGGGTGGCTTTTGATACTGGGTTAGCTGATTTGGGTATAGCATGTCAGTGCCACAATAATGCGAATGTATTGAAATTGTACAATTTTTACTTGCCAAGAATTCCAGTTGAATTTTCTAGGTGTCTTTTTTGAGGTAGGTGTTTTGAGGTGTGGTGTTCCCAGGGCCCATTACAGCCTTGATGGCTTATCTGACTGCATGTTGTGCTTTGGACAGACTTGTAAAGTCATGGATTTGGGGTTGTAGCTGATGCCGATGGCACCCAGCTGTATATTTCTTTCTTTTCACATTTCAAAGAAAAATGCTTTGCTGAAAGTTGAGACTGGGAAGGAAAAGATACGTGATGGCACTAATATTTCCCTAGTTTACCTAGGTTTAAGCAAGAACTGCTGCTGAATTGTGTTACGACAGTAATGCATGCTCTGCCCTTTGTCTGGGCGCTGAAGTAAGGTAAGAGTCAGCAAGGGTTAAACCAGCACTGTACCTTTGAAAATATCCTCTATAATCCCTTGAGAAAGTCTGTCCCAATCTGTTTTTACTCTGGTTCAGTAATAAACATCATCTTCCCATCCATGTACCATGGACTGTACATTTTTTCACCAGCTACTGTTGCAGGGCCAAATGTACTGACTGCGAGGGGGTGACAAGCTGTTGCCTTCCTCTCTCCCCTTCTCAACATAGACCCATGAGGTATGTGCTCCACATCATATGACAGGACAAAAACTGTTACTCTAGATCCTTCCCCCACAAACACTGTAGCTGCATTCAGCCGCACATCTTCTTACCCTCAGGTGGGTATCTTCCTGCAATTGCGTTCAGGAAGTGAAATTGCTTTGAAATGAAGGGGAGGGAAAGAAGGAGGACAAAACAGATTAAACATTTTCCATTTTTCTTAATATTTTCTTGTTAATAATACACTTATTAAGAATGTGTTAAGCTGCAACCCTTCCTCCCATACGGATCTGACATCTGTGGCACATAACTTTGGGACATTGGCTCTGGTTGCTGTGATTTACACTACAGTGAGATACCTAAGAGGCTTATATGTTGCCTGCAGCTAATGCAGTAGCGTGTGTTTTGCCACTGTTAGGCAGAACAAACTCATTCTACCTGCTGCTTTTTCTTCTGCATCAGCTGTCTGTGTACAGCTCACATTTAAGATGTTTGTATAGCACCAGAAGCTATTGAACAGTTAGTCTTTGTGATTTCATTGTTCTTTTATTACAGGATGGGTGATGCATTTCTCAAGTTTTGGTATGCACAAAGGATGAAAAATCATCATGTACCTGCCGCCAGGTATATGCATCACTGCACTGGGATGTTCTTGGACCCTGCAAGCTCAGTAGAGTCCAGCTGGATGGAATACTGCCTGGGAATTCTGCCCTGCTGCTGCTGATCATTCAAAAGGGGCACACTTCCCTGCAATAGTCCTCTTCTGCCCTGCCTTGTGCTGAGTGAAACAAGCCTACCCTGGAATGAATGAGAATGAGAGCTCTGTGCGAATAAGGGTCATTAAAAGGGATTCCTCATCTGAAATGAAGTGACAGACTACCTTATGTCTCTGGGAACTGCCTGGGCATGTGTTTTCAGGTGAAATGTAGACTGACACTGATTCTCCATCACTTGTTGTCTTTAGAGATCTCTGCACCTTTTGCAAAAGAAAGGGGTTTTCCACCTAATTGTCTGGGTAGAATTCCAACTGGGAGTTTTCACCTTCTTCCTGCTTTAATTTCCCTGACACTTCTACCAAGTTGTTCGTCAATCCTTGCCCTGCAAGCACAGCTGCTTTTCATCCCAGAGCTCATGAAGCTTCTGTGGTAGACAAAGAACATCTAGAAATGGGTGTCTAGTACCATTGTAGGCATTGTGGGGAATCTCCCCTGGTGTCCAGCTGCTGCTTCAGAAGGATGTAGGGCTCTCTGTATCACATCTGCCAGCTGCAGATAGATGTTTTGGATACATTAGGTTATCACAAGTGGTGTAGGCAATATGACATATCCTGAGTGCATTTGGGTGGGTAGGTTGTGAGACATTTTGGGGTGCCACTGTAGTTAAAGTGATCTGCAGTGGTATGCTGTTCTCCGACTGGATCCTGACTGCGTAGCTGAGCAGGTGTGTCAATGCCATTGCCCACCTTATTGGCATGTTTGAAACTGCTACTCTGATCTACGGCTTCATTTAGAACAGCCAGGCAGCTAGTCTACAGCTGGGCAGAGTTGCTTGTCCTCAGAGGTAGAATAGGTTACTCAGTCATAGCATGGTATAGTAGTGGTAAACATAAAAGCATACTTGTTTTCTGATTTGTTATTCCAGACCAAGCCATAGAAGTGGGCAAAAGCTGTCTGCCCAACTTGGAAGCGAATAAGCTCTCTTTATTTGTATAACATTATGTTACTGAGGCATTAAGGGAGTGGGCAGAATGCACCCTTACATTCCTCTGAAGGGCAATTGATCTTGGTATGCCTGAATAACCAAAAATGCAGACATAAAATCACCAGGGTTATACCAACACTGTCAGTTCTCTATGTTTTTCTTTACAGTTTACAGCATAAGGACACCTTTTAGCTGCTTGCCTATGGAATACCAAAGGTGTGAAGTGGGTTAGTGAAGGGGGATGCTGAACTCCACATCCTTTACAGAAGAGTACGTAGTACCTCTGGATTCACTGGCCTGGCTCTCCTAGGAACCAGGCAAGTAGGCATAGACCCTGCCTTTGCACCTTTGGACTTGTCTGATTTTTAATATATTTCAAAATCAGGAAGATGGTAACTGAAGCCCTGTCAGGGGTCCTGGAGTTTGTACCCATAGTTTGTACGTGTGCTTTCACTTTTGTGAAGGATTACAATATCTCCTTCAATCCTCAATATCTCCATCAATCCTCTTCCTTTAAATAAGACTTAGAAACTGTGCCTTTTGTGAGCCATTCAGCACAGGACAATGATCTAGTCGTACAATTTAATATGACTTAATCTTGTATGCAGTTTTGGCAGAGTTTTATCACTTTTTTTTTCTCTATATGAAAGTGCTAATATTTGAGACTGTAGTCACCAACATTCCTGTTGTGACTTATTCTCTCCAGCTTTGATTGGATTTGTGCGGCCAGATTTCCTTACCGTTACTATTAAGCATTTGATCTGATGGTAAATACTTTGTTCAAATGAACATAAAATGTGCTTGCTTATCCAGAAGCTTTACATTCATAGAAAGGAATGATAATTTCCTAATTATTCTCACTTTTTTAATACTCCTTATGCTGTTCAGCTATTTAATGAATTTTTTCTTTTAATCTGTACAATTAACTAAAACGTAATGGCAAGAGTAATCGCTGTAGGAACACTTGGAAAGGAACTCAGGACAGAGCTGTGCAGGATAGTTATAAGGAAATACACCCAAATCAGGAGTTACAAAGCATCTGAAGGAAATGAATGGTTTTGGAGAAATCCCTTAGCAGCAGCAGGGGCTGCAATGACAGCTTTTCAGGGCAACAGGAGATGGGAAAAGTAGGAGAAAACCAGGGACCCCACCACAGTAGGCAGCCAGGTAACATTAAGAGGAACGCAATGGGAGACTGCTGCCACTCCAGACTGCTGCACCTCTTAGAGAGGTAGAGGGTCTGCAAAAAAAAAAAGAGAAGAGGACATGGGAGGAATGTAGGAAGATCAGGAAGTCCCTTGCCAAAACAGATTACCTAAAATGGATCCCCAAATCTGCTTTGAAGAGCAGCAATGCAGAGGAAAGCGTGCTATCCATCTTGCTGCAGCTGTATGTGGTCCAGAGGCCTGAAACCATTCTGCAGCATTTCCTGTCCAGGAGGTAGCTGAGGCAGACTTGTGGGGAAAACTGGTAGCAGCAAATTCTACAAATGACAGTTTTCCTCCAGTCTGCTAAATGAGCTAATGTCATTTCTTCTGGCAGTTTTTACTTTCCAGGTGAAGTTTAATCTTAGCCTGTCACTCGGTGCTTTTGCTTAAAATGCCAGTCTCAAAAATATAGTCAAATTTTGCACTCTGTCTCTTTCTGTATAGAATTGAAATTGTACAGAATAGATCTATATTTAAATGGCTTACTGTAAATGTAAGGAAGAGAGATCAATTTTCAGAGTAATTTCAAGTTGAGCCATAGGATAAAACACCCAAATATTTAGTATTCAAAATGGCATATTAAGCAAGAAAACAGGCCATTATATAACTTACTTTATTTCTCTTCTAACAGGTGTTGGAAGATCATGGCATGCCAATGAATGACAGTCAATTTAATATACTAACAGAAAAGGTAGGGTTACCAGATGGAGGGTTGAGTTATCTGGATTTTGTGGCAGTATTGGAAGGTAAAGGAATTTTAACAGCAATAACGCATGAAACAAACCTTTCCTGGAAGATCCAGAACTTCTCTCTTTCAAGGAAAGGCTATTGATGAAATTAGGAAGAGATCAGTGACATGATTTTTAACACACGGACGACCTTCCTGTCTGTAGTTCTTTGACTTCTGATCCAGCTAAGCTGCTGAGTATCTAACTCAGGAGAAGAGGGAAAATGGAACATGTGGGATGTGAACTAATTAAAGGTCCACAGATAGGTGCCATGGAGTTGTCACTAACAGATTACAAAAAGTAAATGACTGATTGCTCTGCCTTGAGTAGATCCTTGTCCTCAGCAGTTCTAACTCTTATTCACAATCTTGGAATTATGTTGTATCTTAAATTACAGTGGATGATTTTATAGTAGTGATGTTCAGCAACTTTTTCTTTTCTGTGTGAAAAGCCAGAAAACAGTAACTAGTCCTTTCATGAAAGAAACACCTGTTAGTAAGCCATTAGTCATGAGTTTTAGTGGCGGTATATACAACTGGAGCTCTGTGGTGTGATCTGGTTACGTATTGGTTTATGGTTTTAATTTGAAGTACTGCTCTTGAATGTTAAAGCTGTTGAGGGACATTGCTACTAGGGAATGCTGAAATGTGGTTATCTACAACATAATTGATATTGTATTAGAGTATCAAGAATTCCAGCGAGAGAGCAAGTTTTACTGTTTATGTAGATATAGATGTATTGTCCACCCATAAAATAAGGATGTGGTCTTCATTGATTTACTGTTGCTGAGGAATGAATACCAGAGGAATATATGTATAATTTGGGAGCAGGTTTTTTCACCTCAGCTACTTGCCTTACCCCATCAGTAATTTCACTGAAATCAAGGCACTGTAAGTAAGGGGTTTGATTTTCAACTCTTAAAAATGATGCTCATGGAATCTGAAATTGTTTCTTAGGGTAGAACCTTGAGCGCAAACTAAAACTAGTAAGTAATTACTAATTTCTCATTTTTTTTATACTTATGCTTTAAATCTGGACATTATGGGTAAAATTCTGACGTCACTGAAGTCAACAGCAGTCTTGCCATTGGCTTCAAGGCCTGTTTTAACTTCCATATTATGCCTCTGTTATATTTCTCAGAGGTGCACATTCACTTTTTTCACACTGTTACTATTATTTTCTGCTGTCATTATTTGTCTTTTAGAACTAAGACAAGAGAGAGAGAGCTGTCTTGTAGCTGGCTGTCAAAATATTCAGGTTTTTCTTCATTCAGGCCTAGAAAATTAGAAGTTTGTTAATATAGCCGGCTAATCATCTGTCCACCAAAATATGTGCGCCTTCATCCAGTAGCCTAATAAAAGATGTTTGAAACACGTTAACCTCAGGGAAAATGAGTGTGTCAGCTCTTTGATTTAAATCAAGAATCAACAGTGTTTTGTCTGTATTTAAACTTTTTTCTTTTGCCAATTATGAGAATCATAGCTTTTATTTCCATATGTTACTGTATCTCATAGTTGTAAAAGGAAGTATAACCCATATTTAACATAAAGTAGGTCTCAGAAAACAGAAGGCAGATAAAACACCCTCCTAACTTATATTTTTCAATGATTTGTGATTCACTGGGGTGGAGGGTGGTCTGTAGTTACAGAGAGAGACCTGGTTTTCTTCTTACAAGCTTTAGCGCGAAGATAACATGAGAACAAATTTTCTTGACTAGACTTCAATAGAAACTGGAATTGAAAACAGGGAAAGATAGTGCATGTCTGTAGGGGGGAGTAGGATTTAAAGGCTAAAATCAAGAGAAGTTAAAATGATGCAATGAATACTATTTAGTGATTCTTCAGGTAGTTGTACAGGTTCTTGTGTGTCAGTATATGTAAATCTTTTAAAAAGAAAAGAAAAGTTCCTTTTGAACAGACCATTAACTTACCATTTTTCTTATCAATCAGGAATAAGGTGTAGTGAAATGTCAGTATGTACACTTTTCTTTACAAGTTTTTCCCATTTTAAAATCTGACGTGAATTACTTTACTCCTCTATACATCTCATGCTGCAGAAAAAATCTGGAATGCTCAAGAGGCTACAAAAGATGCTTAGTCTCTTTTTCCCCAGAAATAAGGCAAAACACATTCCTAGAGTATCACTGCACAATAAGCAGAAGGAGTCAGATCTGGAACAGTGACCAAAATAGCTTTTCTATGGCCTAAAAGTACCTTAGCCCTTCAGGACTGGAAGTAGGTGGGTGCCCTGCTGGGAAGCTGGCTGTCAGCCTTTCCTGATCCTGCTGGGCTGTGGGATAATAAACTTGTGACAATATGAAGCTGCTGTTTGTGCGGGACTGAGTCTTGCCAGAATAGAAAATCAGACAAAACAGTTTCAGGGGTGATGCTCTGTTAAGTCAGGAGTGTTTTGATGGCAGATCTCCTGAAATAGCTCACATCGGATCAAACCAGAGGAGGTCTTAGCCAGGATAGAATTCCTCCGGGGGAGATGGTCTAGCATGCAGTGGTTGTGCTACGCAGTCAAAGATGTAACGAATTACTTTCTCTGACACTGTCTGCAGCTCCTGTTTTCCCTCACTGAGACAGATGGGCGGTATGACAGCGAGTCATGGCTTTCACGGTGCTCCTTTTCTCCTCCTCCAGTCTGATATCTCTCTTCCTCAGAGCAACCAGGCACCAGAGAAGACTAAAGCAAGAGAAAAAGACCTTGTCTGAGCTTGTGCTTTCTTCAGTTGAGATTATCTTCTTCATCTTGTGCTGGGAAAACTATAGCAGCTGAGGCCATTACTGTAAATTGGGTGGACACCACTAATACTGTATACAGTTATTGGGCTTTGTCATGTTTGGGCTGTAAAGAATATGATCGCAGGGTTTCTTGTTTTGTTTATGTTATATTACTGTGCTATTTATCAGATATGTTTAATACCATCTTTCCAATGTTTGCTGTACTTCGATTTCATTATTGCAGATGCCAGACTGAATGGCCCAGGAGCTATTCTATGTAACAGCCCAAACCACAGAGTAAATGATGCTGCTGAAAAATGTCCTGGTCAACTCAGTGATAAGCTGATGGAGGTCTATGGGGTAAATACATCAAGCCATGGTTTGCTTTTGGCAGTGAAGCTGGTTGTTATTTTGATACAAACATTTGTTTTAAAAGTTGGTTTGGAGGAGCTGTCGGGGAAGTGACTCTAAAAATTATGTTGGATATCATGTCTTCTGTGTCCTCAGAAACTTCTAGTTCAAATACATTCAGTTTTCAAGGCAAAAACTTTTTTTTTTCCCCCCAATTGTCTTCTCTGCAGCTTCTGCCAGGAAAATAAGATCTGGGTTATTTTTTCGCATCCTTTTGTGAGCATAGCTATTAAAGATTCTGCAATTAGAAAAGAATAACTCTGTACTACTTGTTCATAGAACAGTCCATCTATTCATGAGAATAATCTTTCAAGAAGACGTCCTTAGTCCCTAAAGTTTGCAACACAGTGATCTTAATTAAGAGTTCTTTTCCAGCTTTTCTACATTTGCTTATTATTTTCTGTAATTACAATTAGAATGTACTCCTTGAATTCCCACTATGGATATGCACAGAGTAAGAGAAATCACATTTTACAAAGGAGAGAAGCCGCAGTCGTTACCCTTTTGCTCAGTTCATACCATCCCATCCCTGTTCTCTGGGAGAAGTGGAAAGATCAGGATTCAGGAAAAGGATCCTCTGTTCAAACCACCTTGGACACCTTTAGTGAAGCTGATCGTATTGATCAGCATTACTTCAGATTTCTGAAGAAATTCACCATTTTAAAGGTGTTTGAACATTTTGCATCTATTTTAATGGGAGAAGCTGTTCAGCTGGTAGATCAATTGCTGTAAAGTCTGTCTTCACGGGTTTTCTAAGGATGCACAAGAGGAGAAATGAGGTACCTCTCAGTATAGTAGGGATGGAAAGTGGAGGTCAATTTGTAAATTGTATGGGGCTGACTTTTTGATGCTCCCTACTTTTGCTCAGTTCTGTACATGCTTGAGATGAAAGCAATAAGACTGCAGTTTACTGAGGACTATCCCAAGTCTTTAGTAAGGCAGTACTATAAATGCTTTGTGTTCTCAAACTGTGTTAAAATATTTGCCTGTTGGTAAAACAAGTCTAGAGGAAACATTTATTATTTATGTTTAAAAATATGTAGTTGATGTGTTAACTATATTTAGTTAAATATTCCTTGTTAGGACACCTATTCTGCCTTCCGAGAAACAGACAGTAATCATGAGGGTATCGTGAACATGCTTGACTTTCAGCAGTTCTTGGACAGCTTTCTGCTTTGTCTCACAGATGAGGAATTCCTGCGCCTACTTGGTTTGTTGGGAATGAATCTGACCTCCATGTTAAATTACCAAGAATTCTGTCAACTGTTCCACACCCAAGAAACTAAGGAGGTACCTCCTCAGCTCATGCCATCTCACAAGTAAGAAAGAGAAAGTTGCATAGTACCTACAGTAATCTGATGTGTTTACAGAAATGAGTATGCTGTGTGAAAATTTGTATCGGGTATAATTGAAGAAAAGATAGTATTAAAATATGTCTTTATCAAGCTGAAGTTGGGTAGCTTTACCAAGTTCTCAGTGATTTATGACTCCGTTAAATATTGAATCCACCGCTAGGTTAAAATGCCAGAACTACCCGTGGGGACTGCTTAAATCTGTAAGGTCAAACATATATATTGGTGCCTGACTTGGAGCCTTAGAGCTGAGCGAGCCTCCAAACTGGACAACTTGCTGTATCTTTAGAGCATGCAGGATTGGGGACATGGTTTGGGAATCAGATGTCATTTTGGATCGAGGAGCAGCCAGGGCACAGTGTCTGCGTGTGAGACTAGTAGTGTTGTTGGTACATTACAGCAGCCCTCTGAGAGTAGACAAGATCAGGTGAGGTGCACAGAAGCACTGAGGCACTGTGGAGTGGTTGGAGGATAGGGAGAATAGTGCTGCAGCCCCCCTTCCTGCAAGAGGTGATGCTGCTTAAAACATCTGGAATTTAAAAGTTTGAGCTTAACTTTAATGATAAATAGCATTTATGCACTAAAAGTGTACTCTAAAAACTCAGTAGGAAACTGTGTTTAACTATGCAAATGGAGATAAATTCATAAAAATAATGACAAGATACAGCAGGACTGAAAAAGCTCCTGATCAGCAACTCATCTCCGCTGTGGCAGTGAAGATGTGATATATACACATAGGCTTATTTCCCAGTTTTTATTTGTCTCTTACAGCATTACTGTTGGCTCTGATGTTAGTAATATTTATCTGCTTGGTTTGTTTTTCTTTTTTCCTGAATTGGACAACTGAGTGAATCAAGGACATCAGTCTAAAACAAGAAAGGAAACTGATGATGATTGAGCCTTGTTAACAGTTGGAGTCTGAGACCAATTACTGTCGTGCTCTCATTTCTGTTTCAGTTTGGACTTAGCTAGAAATTGAAACATCTTGAATTTTGCTCCAGAATTTCCTTGTTTCAAATACTATTACTGTTTCAGATGTCCAGCAAAGAAAATACAGTGATTAAAAGCCTTAAGAGCACTTGGATTTTCCCAGCTAAGTTTTTAGACTATTTTTGTTGGTCGATTGTTTACAGAATCACAGAATCGTAAGGGTTGGAAGGGACCTCAGGAGATCATCTAGTCCAACCCCCCTGCTAAAGCAGGCTCACCTAGAGCATGCTACACAGGACTTCATCCAGGCGGGCTTTGAATATCTCCAGAGAAGGAAACTCCACAACCTCCCTGGGCAGCCTGTTCCAGTGCTCTGCCACCCTCAGAGTGAAGAAGTTCTTCCTCATATTCAACTGAAACCTCTTATGTTTCAGTTTGCATCCATTGCCCCTAGTCCTGTCGCTGGACACCACTGCAAACAGACTGCTTCCGTCCTCTTGACTTCCGCCCTTAAGATATTTGTATGTGTTGATGAGATCCCCTCTCAGTCTTCTCTTCTTCAGGCTGAACAAGCCCAACTCTCTCAGCCTTTCCTCATAGGGGAGGTGCTCCAGTCCCTTTATCATCCTAGTAGCTCTCCTCTGGACTCTTTCTAGGAGTTCCTCATCTTTCTTGAACTGGGGAGCCCAGAACTGGACACAGTACTCCAGGTGGGGTCTCACCAGGGCAGAGTAGAGGGGGAGGATAACCTCCCTCGATCTGCTGGCCACACTCCTCTTAATACACCCCAGGATACCATTGGCCTTCTTGGCAACAAGGGCACATTGCTGGCTCATGGTCAGCTTATTGTCCACCAGGACTCCCAGGTCCCTCTCAGCAGAGCTGCTATCTAGCAGGTCATCCCCCAGCCTGTATTGGTGCATGGGGTTCGACCTCAAATCCCTGACCGGGAATCGAACCCGGGCCGCGGCGGTGAGAGCGCCGAATCCTAACCACTAGACTTAGGCTTATGGAATCTTCTCTCAAGCAGTGGGAAAGATGAAAACTCAGAAGGTACCCAGGCACCTAAAATGGATTCATGTGGCATTCAGTTTTCTAAATCAAAATGGAGCCCTCAGCGAAGACTGTCAAGGCCCCAAGCCCCGGGAGCTCAGAAGTGGCTGAGTTTGCAGTGTTGCAGTTCTCCAGGAGCTAAGGTCTGGCCTGCGCATGCCATGGGTGGTACAGGAACTCGGTGGATAGGTCAGATGTAGTTACCACATCTCACCTGGTCTGCAGACCCAACATTCCTCTGCCTTTCATTTGAGAATCTTGGTCCAGGGATCATGTTCCTGGAATGCAGCTGAACCAGGCTCTGAAGCCATATGTCTGCAGCAATTCCTTACAAAGCAATAGCTGGAGGAAAAACTGGTGCTAGGATGTAGCATGAGGTGGGCAGCTATGTGTTAAGAGAAATGACCAGTTTTCTAACTGGAAGTGCTTAGAAAAGCTAAGTAGAATTGGGCACAAAAAGAAGGGCTGCTCTTCTCAGGTGAGAAAAATGGTGGGACGTGAAGTCCCCTTGATTCTCAGGTAGGTGCGTCCTTGTGTAGCTTTCTGTGTAGTACAGCAGCTACACTGCATCTTAATCCGAAGGCACCCATATTCCTCTGCATGCTTGGATTCCACCAGAAGCACCAGGCCCCCAAAAGTTAGGGACTTTTAGTGGTGGCTGAATTTGCAAATGTGGGTCTTACTCCCCAGACTTACTAGCCATGCCTTGGTGGCTCACAAGATAGTTTTGATCTACGTTATTGATGTAAATCAAGGATCATCTTCCTGGAGTCACTCCAGGATATAATTGTTTCTGAGATAATTAACATTTCCTTCTATGCCTATAAATGATCCATGCTGGCTCTTGAGTTTGAGGGAGAACTGAACAATATTGATTTGAAAATAAATAGGGAATTACAAAATTTAAAACATCTTTGCTACCCTGTAGCTAGGGAAATAAGGCAGTATTTAAAGAATTAAGTTTACACAGATGTGAAGTAACAGTCTTTAATGCGTATCTTAGAAACTAGGAAACAAAACCACCACTACCGTGAAGAACAACAAAAGGTAAGGAAACTTGTGGAGATTAAAGATCCCACTAACGTAAAACATAGTTAGTTGTTTTTTTATTTTTTTTCTTTTCTGAGAAAAAAACAGATGATAACGGATTCAGAGCTAGCTTGTGATCACGCTCATTACTACCTTGTTATCAAAGCAAGAACCAGATGGCATGACCTAGCAGGGGTAAGAAGAATGTTTTCTTTAAATAAATAAGCAGCACTAATAGATTTCAGAACATTATGCAATGTTGATCTTCAGATTCTATAAATATTCAAAGAGACCCTTGCAAAATAGCTCATTAATGATAAAAACTTACTATGTGATTAAAAAAAATCAACAGTTTGAATAATATTCAATTTTTCTAATGATTATGTAGTAGATGCTATTGCAGTTATTCCTAAAACTTTCTTCATATTTTCCTATTTTATTTAATGTTTCTGTTGTAAGAGTAGTAATGGGCTTCATCTGAGGCCTGTTTGACTACTGTCATGTACTGCTGTACATGAACACACACCTACTCCTATGCTGACAACCAGCGTTGCCCAGCACAGCGAAACATTGACTGTGATACTACACCATCCAAAGAGGCTCTCGCAAAACTGTCCTATAAAAATTATTTCCACCTTTCTATCTTTTTTAACTTGTTAAATAGTTGCAGTATTTGGACAACAGAGTAGCACAAGGAAAAAGGAATATAATTAAATGTTTGTGTAAATCAGACAATAGTACTGGTAGTCTCTGTTTGCAAGATGAATGGTAAAAAACCCAACAAACCCAACCAACCAACCAAAACCCAAAGCAAAATCTAATTCATCTTAGGTATAAAACAAGTTGGGGAGAAAATCTGCAGGTCTGCCATTTTCTAGTGCCTTCATCTTCCACTGGCATACTTCAGCAGTGGGCATATCCACAGCTGCATGCACACTTCTCATGCTCATATCCCCTGTGTTTGCCATCAGTAAGAAACTATCTACACAGAGTAGATCGCCTAAACACCCGTCATGTCAATCCTGATTCAAGCTTTTGAAAGTTGCACTTCAACAGTAGAAAGTAGGAAAGAGCAAAAATCAAATGAAAAAACATTAGAAGATGAATTTCAGATGTGCATGATTTTCCATTTCTTTTTCAATTCCCATTATTCATTAAGCTTATAGAGAGATCAAACATTTTGTCAAACTTGCTGGTTCTTGTTAGTGATGATTTCTTTTACTCCAGAATTTTCAGGAATTTGACAGTGAAGGAAACGGCATTATACAGCCAAGGGACTTGAAGGAAGTCTTGTTCAGATTTGGCATTCCAATCACCCCAGAAGAAATTAAGCAGCTTTGGGCAAGGTATGACAACTCTAAATTATTAGCTCTTGCAATAATGTATCTTTTTATAAGATTACAGAGCCTTTGGTAGTACAGTGAATGCCAATAGATTACACTGCACGAGAATTCTTCTATTTTGTTATGATTGTGACCTCAGATCATGACACTGTGTTACAAGAGGCTATGTCTTACCATACTAAGCTCAAGAATACAATTAGATCCATCAGTTTCCAATAGGGTTTTCTCTTGGCTTCAGTATTACTGATCCCTTTAATTTAACATGCGTTTTCTTCTTGGATGGCACCTTAGGTCACTGGTTATATTAACTTGGTTTTCATCAATTTTGTTTATACACACAAATGCCTGCCTTAGTTTGAGATAGGTGAAAGTCAGTTCCAAGCGTCTTGGGCCATCTGGGAACTGCAGACAAAGCTTCCATCGAGGAGCTCCATGGAGGATCTGCATTGCGTACCTGTCTGAAGGCAGTGCTACCAGCCTCTCCTTTCCAGAGGACTAAATTTACTTACAACATTTTCAATGTAAATAAAAGTGATTCAGTCAAAAGAAAAATGCTACATACCAAATACATAACAAAAGAAAGTAAGGTAATTTCATGCTGTGTAAAGATGACAAGTAATATCATGAAATGTTTTTATAGATTTGTTGCCAAGTGGGGGAAAATACTTGTCTGCCTTCAACAAAGAGGAGCTGTGCTATAAACTGTATTTGAAATGGCATAGATGTCAGCTGTATGTGACATTATATAAAAAGCTACCTTCATTAGAGGTCTATTTAAAAAAGTAATCACTTTCTCTAACATATAGAACCCAAGCGTATTGCATTTGGGTTTCAAACTGCATTAACTATATAGTTTCTTCTTAGCACTGATTCATCTCTGAATTATTTTCTACTCCATTAGATTTTACTTTTCATTCTTATTCCTTATGGATGCCATGGCACATTGAAGAGTACCCTTTTCATGCAGTTATCTGCTGCAAAACTTCACTCCCATCAGCCACTCCTTTTATAGAATAGCTAAAATCTCTTACGTGCCTGATATGTCTGTAACTTGAATAAAGGAATTAGAGTGAAGCTGAGGCTAAATTAGGCATTACCATGCATCAGAGCACTAGCAGGGGGAGAAACTGCAGGGGAAAAAGCCTATGGAATGGTTTATACTTAAGAAAATATGAAAAGTGTTTATGAAGCTAAACCTATGTTTCTGAAGGATGATTACAATTCTGAGCATCTCAGACTTGTGTGACCAGTCTGAGACACTTGAGACTGAATTTTTAGGAGCCCAGTTGTCTGCATCTCAAGCCAGACACTGAAAGGTAGCAGTACTGAGAGCTGGAGAATACTCCTGACAGTTTGGTCCTCAGGGTAGTATTTTCAGAATCGACTCTCTGATTACAGTGCATAAGCCCTATCTTTCGAGTCTCTCATAAAGTCACTCATTCTCAGTGTACTATGGCACCTCTATAAGGAAGGGAAGTCACTGAGATTTAAGCTGCCTTTCTATGAAGAAGACATGAATATTTAAAAAGAGCGTTTCTTTGTCAAGGTATGATACAGATGCAAAAGGATATTTTACCAAGAATTTTTACAGAAACTGGGGATAGAGTTTGCACCCACTGACACAGGGCTCAGCAGACACATCACGGAAGACAGCTATGCACATTTACAAGCACATTACAGTCATCAACAAAAGAAGCCTTCAAAGCTGGAAGAGCAGCAGAAACAGCAAACTAAAGCTCTGCATGTAAGAGAAATTAAAAAGCAGATCAAGTAAGTTATTTATGAGCTTAGCATATAACTTTCTATGTGTTTAGTTTGTTAAAACGGCACTGTGTATAATACAAATGTAATGTTACCCAAAAAAACCCCCAAACCCCACTCTGAAAAGGAGTCTCAGAAGATCCTGGACCAAGCTTATCCGTAGTGTTATTCCCTTGATTTGCTGGAGCTCAGTGTGCACTGTGAGACTTTTTAAATAGATATTCTCCATGGATTAGATTACTTATTTTACAGACCTTATAGCAGCATCTATACTGACAAATCAGAAAGTCCAGAGACATTCCGAGACTCAGTCATCTTTGTTGCTAGACTGCCAAAACAGTTCTCATCATGCTTTGGCCTGTGTCAGCTAATGTTTTCCCTGATCACTGTTTGAGAGCAAGAATGCTTCAAGGACCATTCCTAATAGGCAGTTTGCAGGCAGCTGCTCCCTTTTGGCGGCTAAGAAGGTTCAGTAGCAGAGACGTGCCAGCTGGCCTCTGTGCCCAGAGCACTCCCTGGTCTGTTTATTGGTATCATCTCAGCTTGTGGTTCCAGTCCTAATGCTGCTGTCATCTCAGATTGAGGGAGAAGAGCAAGTGCAATTTTTGTCACCCTGCAGGTCTCCTCTTCTCAGACTGCTTTGGGGAACATAGACTTATACCTACCTGATTACAGGGGCTTTTCTTGCAGCTGGAATGACTGGGCGTGTAGGGGTCCCATATCCTACCCTGTCCCTTGGATGAGGGCCATGTAGCAATCACAGGTGGTTTCACATCCCTCTAGCAGCTAGTTAAATTGTTAGTAAATGGCTTTATAGATGCAGCAAAAAACAGCCTTGACAAGGACGGACCCTGGCTCCATATGACAGAAATAAGCATCTTGTCTCCAAGCAAGAGGAGTCTCTGCCTCAAACAAAATCAACACTCCCAGAGCTAATAGGTCATTGCTCCTGAGAAGAGCATTTGACAAATAAATGACAAAATGATATCCTACTCAGAGTGAAGTCTAATGATCCATGCTTGCCCTAGTGAGTCAGCAGTGATTAGCCTGCTGCTGCTGTAGGATTCCTGCACCTGCCAGCAGATTGAGGCAGCAGGAGAATCCTCTGCCCCAGTACAGTGCTGTTAAGGCTTTATATTTCCAGGTTGTGGATAGACACCACCTGGATGCTTATCATGTTTTCTGCTTGTGCTTTCACTCTTCTCCTGAACTGTTTTTTGTTTTGGTTTTTTTTCCTTCAATTTAGGAGTATAAACCCTCAGGAGCAAATAACATGTAAAAATATACCCCCAAGAGCACAGATTTGCTTTCTTTTGTTCTCAGAAAGTGTCTGGAAGTTGTAGGAACTAATAAATTATTATTGATAAGAATTATAATTCCCCATGACATTGTTGGTAAAGGTGATACACTCATAAACAAAGAAGACCAGCCTTGTCTCGCAGTAAAGAGGCAGCTGGGGAAATAATTAGACAAAAAAAACCCACAAAACACAGAGAGAAGCCTGTAAGCTAAGGCTTTTGCCTTTTTACCCTGCTTTTTTAAATCCTGTTTTTCAGTATCCCAAATAAGCTGAAGGAATCAAGGGCAAAACTGTCCTTTCTTTTCAGTGTCACAACTCTCCCCACTTGCCTTGCAACTCTCTGGCATAAACTGCACTTATGACACTCACAGGTATCAACGAGTGTTCCACCTGTAAAAAATTGCATAATATACAACAGAGACGGTTGGGCAGCTGCTGTGTTTTAGGCATTGCTTATTGCTGTATTTGTAACTTTCTGATGTGAAACTCAGGCCCTAACTGTCTCATACTGGACTCTTCCACTCCATTTGTTGTACCAAACAGTTGTGTCTGGTCTTACACTTGGATGAAGAGCTCCTTTGGTCAGGAACCTTCTATTTCTTTCCTCTTAGTGCAATGCCAAGTGCAAGGCAGCCCTGCCTCCAATGCTCTAAATAAGAAACAGCTCTTCAAGTAGGGAAGATGCTGTGCTGCAAGCAGAAATTATGCAGTGTGGCTCAAAGATGTAAATACTCATCCTGAAGCAGCTGGAGAGTAATTAAATCAATGGGGAAGACATGCTGGGTAAAAATAAAATAGTCATGATGTGACATGCTGGCAGGTCCACGTCGTTTAGAATTATTTACTTTTTAGAACCTACCATAACAACAGCTATCTATAGAACTATGTATATGGCCACTAGATACACCAATACATACATATGAGCGCATAGTGATTGCTTAACTGTAATTTAGAGGAAACAAAAAATTGGCAGACCGAGTCAAGTATAACTGGATTCAGTTACCTGCTAGCAACCAGAGCCAGATGTTTCTGGTTAAGGTAGAGCAGCCTTCTAATAGATGGACATGGAATATTCTGTCCCCTGCACTGGGGCTGTCTTATCCTGGGCAATGATGGAGTTCAGTTTAAGCCTGCAGATGGGACTTGTACATCCCTTTCAAAAACTATGTTCTGATTGTTTGTTAGACTCTGGCTTTTTTTGATTTATGTATGTAAAACATCCAGTTCTGGTTTTAATCTTTTGAAATTTCTGGCATCTGCAGCTTTCTTTGGGAATGAGTTCATAGCTTAATCGCTCATGATCTGCAAAAGTATGTCTTGCTATTGATTATTGCCACCTTTCAGTTCCTCAGAATATTCTCTTCTTGTCTCCCACACTTCTTCACCTGAAGTCCTGGCTGGTGGGAGCAGTCCTGTGGTAGCAGTTCCTGTCTGGCTTTCTCTCTCGGAAAGCTGGAAGCGCAAGAGGAGTTGAATCCAGACCTTTGAACTCCTCAGATTTCACGTAAGGCCCTGGAAAGCCAGAAATTACTCTTAAGACAGAGTAGTTGTCTGATGGATTAAATCCATCTGCGTGGTGACTGTGAAGGCAGCAATGCAGCTGAGCGTCAGCCTTCCGCTCCAGGACCATATAGGACAGCTCAGATTCGGGAAGCACAGGTGGGCACCATGCCTGTCGACTGTAAAGGTCAGCGTAAGATCTGCTCTTGGTCAGGAAAACAGATGCAGTGGCTGCAAAAACTAACCCTGGTCATCCATGTGGGTCTCAGTCCCTGCTTCATTCTCAATGAGTTAGAAAACTGATTCCTTTCACCTGTCAAATTGGGACTGGGAGGAGGTATTTGCCTGAGGTGTGAATCTGCTGGTTACAGGACCCACCTCAGCAGCACTGGGAGCAGCACCCACTCCCTCTTTTGTGATCTTGCTTAAGCCCTTCTGCAAGGGCTGTGAACCTCACCCTAACAGCTTTGGAGCAGTTTCAGTGTCCTGTGATTACGCACTGTGAGGCAGACAAAAGCTCTGGACATCTTACAATTCAAAACATACTGCTGTGCACTTTTTTTTTCCTTTTGCTTTTGTTGTAACTCACAGGAACAAATCGCCCAAATTAGAAACAGACATTGAACAGTGGCTCTCCAGCTCTTCAAGAAAAATACAAAACGTTTGCAAGAAAATATTATTATTTGGCAACGTAGCTTGATCTATGGTTTTAATCCTCATTTTTTCCACGCACATATTTACTGCTGTGAGTGGAATAAATACTGCTTGGAAATTTTTTATCAGTCCAAACATGTTGAATGCCTCCATTTTTCAAAAATATCAATCTCAAAAACTGTTTTGATTTTACTTCAGCCTTTACTTTTATTGGGAAGATTTAAGGTGAAGACGATAGTGGTGATGAAGAGTGGCACTGAAAGTAACATACAGTTGAAAAGGGGTCCAGAAATTTTCTGCAATGAGGGTACAATGTGGACCACATCACATTTTCAAAGCACACCCTTGCAAGGTGGAAGGAGCAGTGCTAAATAGTCTTCCAGGGCTGGAGGACATCCCTCTCTCATTGAAAAAACAAACTGCCCTTAGGGTCCTCAGCTGGTTTTGGCTTTTAGGCTGCTGTATTCTGCTTCCTAGGTATGACTCTCGTGGTCTCTTGCTGGGCCTCAGTACCCATCCTCCTCCACCATCGCCCCTTTGCAATTGCTGTGTGTTTTAAGCTGTGGAACATTACAGTACCTCAAAAAAAGCAAGCCCTTTGTCAGGAGATTTTAGATTTCTGTCTCTGCTGGAAAGTCTGTAGGCTTCTGAACATAATAAAAGTTAAAACTCAGAGATGTAATTAGCAGATGTTTGATCTCTAGGGTCTCATATCTAAGAGGAGGTTGAAGGAGTCTGAGCTGGTTAGTCAGTAATTAGATACACGGAGATTCAAGTCAGTAAAGCCAGCTTGAGTGCAATGCAAGTGCACTCTGACTGATGCGCACCCTCTGCAGCATACTTTTATGCTCTTTCCAATATAAGCCTTGCTTTGAGTGTAAACCAAGTACCACAGGGTAACAGGAGCAGAATGTGAAAAAGAGGAAGAAATTAACTACAAAAAAGAGATTTGAAAGTGAGAGAGAAGGTGATAGCTCTTTAGGGGCTTTTAGAGACTCTAAACCACACTGGCAATATTGCAGTTTCCTTGAAAAGATTCACATCATGCTTTGAAACCTATATACAGTGGCTAGATTAATCATAAGGAAGCTCACAACTATTTTCTGGAATATTATAGGAGTAGGAGCTATCAAAATTTTTAATGGCATGAAACCAAGCCAGGGTGAGAGGGCAATCCATGCAGCTACAGAAAGTAAGTTGAAGGAATATTGCGCTCCCAAGGAAACTTGAACTTTTGAAAGACATAGGTTTCATATGCGAATGCAGGAGGAGGAATCCTTTGAAGAATTTTTAGCTCATCTTAAAATAACGGATCAGTTGAGTAGCTATTTTATCTCCTTTTCAGAGATTCCATTTTAGGGGATCACATAGAGATTGGCATCAAAGATCCAAAGATACAGAAAAGATCCCAGGAAGGTAGGATCTGAAAATAAAAAAAAAAAAAAAAAAGGATAGAAAAATCTGTTTAGTCAAGCTAGGACAGTCCTAAGGGGCAGTATGGAAATATCAGAAGGGGAGCAGGACATGCAGGAAAAGAAAGTTAGGAGAGTTTTGAAGAGACTCTTCAGAACTATCTGCAAGAAGTAGCCCAAGTGAAATATTTGAGAATTCACAGATTCGCATTATGTCCAGGAGTTTAGAAATTCTGCAGCAGCTAGAAGAAATACAGTTATTTGGCAAGACCTTGCAACTGGAAAAGCAGAAGCAAAGAGAATACCCTCCATATCCCCAGATCTATGTGATGGTGCACAAACCAAAAATACAACAAAATACCACAGATTCTGTGCAAAAGTAGCAGAAGGGGGCTGGAAATTAAGAATAAACACGTCTAAATTCAAAACTGGTGCTCAGTCAATGTTACCTCCAAATACACTGTAAAAAATCTGGCTCAGGAATCTCTATGCATGATGAAAGACTATTGAAACTGAGAGTGTCTACAGAGAATCTAATTCCTACTAAAGGATTGTATGAACTTAAATTAAAAAGTGAAGATAAACACAGTAGTTTAAGTTTATAGGCAGAAAGAGCTAATATTTGGTCTAAAATACGCCTAGCTCTGGGCTTGGTTAAAGCAGTGAGTCTGATGAAGGAACCATAAACACAGGAGATCAGTACCCAGGAATCTTCAGTGTCAGAGATGAAGCAGGCACAGAATATAGAGCTGTATTTTCACAGCAATGTGTGCTGCTAGGAACATTCCTCTGGTCGGGAGAGAGAAGCTCGTAAAGGGGCTAGATTATGTAGGAGTAATGGCGGGATGTTTAAAAGTGGAAGAGCAAATTAGCAACAGGAAGATCAAAAGACAAGTCACTGAGATTGTCCTTACACCCCATGGGGCTAAGTATACGCTTCAGGACAGACACTGTCCTATAAAGGATATTTTCGGGTAAAAGGACTGCATATGCTTTTACAAATATTAATCAATTTTTACAAAAATTACAAATTCAGATTCTCCTGCTGGATCCAAGCAAACTTCCTGGCATGACATGAGTTTAACACTATGTATTTGTAGACCACTGTACAGGAGATTCTGCTTTCAAAGACTTCCTTTAGACTCCAAGTCCATTCTTGAGTTTTCACAGGAAAGTGTAGGAAAAGCCATTCACTTGAAGCAACTGTGGCTGCTTAAATAGATTCTGAAGATGTAGAGAGAAAACCAGTAGGGAATCTGAAAAAAGTATCCAAGAGGGCCTGAGAAGTAGGATTAGACAAAAATGCAAATGTAAAGGCAGAGAAGTAACACAAAAGATTAACTGTCAACAAGATAAAACAGAGTCATTACAAATATGCCATCCACAAAGATAACAAGGGTGTCCAGAGGCCTGTTAGCACTTGAATGTTAGATGAGAGTTCATATCACACGGTCAATCTGTGCAAGTAACTTTTGAGTTACTACACAAAATGGACATACTAGGCTGTAAATCTGGGAAAAGAATTCCCAGATTAAAGGCATTAATAAAGACAACTCCTGGCCTTATGTATATTGGCGCTAGAAGGCAGACAACGTCTTCAAAAGAGGGCTTACAGGCAGTATTATTGAAAAAATAATCAATGGAAATGTGTGGCCTGTGTTTCTAGGGCGCTTGTCAACACCATGATTTGAGGCACAGACTGGGAAAGCAGAGCTCTGGCTCTGCTCTCTGATTGTAAGAAATGTCACATATTTGTTTATCGATCTGTTACAGTCAGAGCTGAGACAAACCACTTTGTAGGCAAAAGAAAGACCAGCTTCCAGAATATAAAAACAGTGCGAGTTTTCAGTGGTGGGTTTTTTTTGTTTTGGTTTTTTTTTAGGTAAAACCATTCAATTTGACAATGAAGTTTAAGTTAAGTTAGTTACTCATCAAAGACGTACTTTCTAGAGCATTCAAGAAGTCTGCTCTGGAAAACAACACAGACAATGATGTAACACATGGAAATACAATTTAAAAAAAGTATTATCCTATTTCAGAAGAAAGTGGGCTAGGTTTGGTGAGGCTGTACAGAAGATGACACAGTGCAGAATGTCATGAAGGTCACCGCCTGTTAGGTAGCAAGGGCATTGCACATCAAGCTCGTATGACCAATTTAGATCAGAATTTCCTGTGTTTAGCAGAATACGCTTCAGAGGTAACAGCATAGTAATGTCTGTGTTATGATTTGATGTGCCTCACAGAGGACAGGACACTCACAAGGCCGTTGAAAAATATGAGAGATAAGACCTTATGTTGATTCATCTGAACCTTCTCCTTTGAGGCTTTTTGTTTGAGTTTTTTTAATTATCATTTCTGCCAGGGGCAGGAGGGCAGGGATTTGGGGATGCCTGAAGGAGGGCACGTGTTGGGTATTTGGGAGCCTGAGCTGGGGCCGCGCAGGAGGGGTGCAGCCACGGTGTCTCCTGTCAGTTCGTGCGGTGGGGCTGGGGCATCTGACTTGTGCATTAACCTGAAATTGCATTTGGATTGAATTTAACTTGAGAACATGTTATGGCATACACTAATACTCTATTTTTTGGGGTATGGAGTCCCAGAAATTTTGTCTAGCAGTGGTGCCCTGTTCAGCAGCTCAGACCTGAAATTATTTGTAAGGAATGAAGGATATCCAGATACCCTGAATATAATGGTGAGCTGAGTTAAAACTGTTAAAAGACGGTTCAAGCAAGCTGTGAAACTGAGAAGTGATCCATACTTTCACTGAACTTGAGAGGAATATAATTGAAAAATGTTTTCTTGCCAGCTGAAACTTGTTTAAGCAGAGAGTCATGGTACTCCCAATTTAGTCCATATAACAGTGGGTCTGAAGCGTATAATAGATTGCTAACGACCCACCTAAGTCAGATCATAATTCAGATTTTTTTAAGGTTGGTGATGCTGTTTGCATACACAGTGGTGTTTCCTGGACCCTGAGGGCTGTGGGGAAATTGTTCCTTGTTCATATGAAGTGCAAAGTCCAGAGGATGGATTCTTAGGAGAAACAATTGCCAAGGAAAATGTATTGGTTTTGTAAAGGCTGTACTGAAACTACAGCTTCTTGAAAACAAATGGAAAACCAAGGATTCTGCAGTGCTGTGAGAGGAAAGACGGCATCAGTAACTGCAGCTGAGAGCAGCCCTGTGGAGAAGGACTTGGGGTACTTGTGGTTGAAAAGCTGGACATGAGCTGGCAATGTGCACTCACAGCCCAGAAAGCCAACCCTATCCTGGGCTGCATCAAAAGCAGCGTGGCCAGCAGGTTCAGGGAGGTGATTCTGTCCCTCTGCTCTGCCCTGGTGAGACCCCACCTGGAGCACTGCATCCAGCTCTGGAGCCCTCTGGACCCTTCTGAAGCACAAGAAGGACATGGACCTGTTGGAGCGGGTCCAGAGGAGGGCAAAAATGATGAAAAGGCTGGAGCATCTCTCCTATGAGGACAGGCTGAGAGAGTTGGGGTTGCTCAGCCTGGAGAAGAGGAGGCTGCAGGAAGACCTTATTGCAGCCTTTCAGTACTTAAAGGGGGCTTATAAGAAAGATGGGGACTTTTTAGTAGGGCCTAGTGTGATAGGACAAGGGGTGATGGTTTTAAACTAAAAGAGGGTAGATTCAGACTAGATATAAGGAAGAAATTTTTTACAATGAGGGTGGTGAAACACTGGAACGGGTTGCCAGAGAGGTAGTAGATACCCCATCCCTGGAAATATTCAAGGTCAGATTGGACGGGGTTCTGAGCAACCTGATCAAGTTGAAGGGGGGTTGGGCTAGGTGACCTTTAAAGGTAAGGGAGAAGTCCAAACTATTCTATGATTCTATGATTATATTCCTACAAAGGAGAAAATGTAAGGTTCAGGTGCTGGCTGATTGATGGTGGCTTAACAAGGAGCAGAGTGAACTGGTCTGAGCTGTTGGATCCACAGACAGACTTGGTGAGAGGCTGAGGCAATGAATCATGCTTGATTATGTCAGCTACAGTGTTGAACTGTGTTATCACTGTAATAAGCCTTTATATTACAAATCCTGACTCTCTAACCAACCCAGCCTCCACACTCTGTACCCTAGGGCTGTCAGAAAGAGCAATTCAGAGCAAATGGAGTGCAGCTGTAGGTATTCACCCAGATCTAAACTTGTCGGTTTTGTCATAAGGGTATCATCTTGTAAGTACCAAATATATGTAGATAATCTATGTATACTTGGTAATCTGCATCAAGACGTAATTCACAATTTACATTAATCTTAAGTGACTTTGCTAGTTGAAGAGGAGTGCAGTAAGGAGAGATGTTTGTGCCTGCCTTATCCTCTTGAGCCAAAATGCAGACAGGCTTTTGTTGAATCAAGAGGCAGAAAGGGATATCGCTCAGGTTTCCAAAGTCTGATCAAAAGGTCCCTGATGTCAGTGAAGTATAAGTGGGAGGAAGAGTCAAGATTTTGAGGCCTGAATCTGATCAGGTGTAAGAAATGATAAATATCTCAGAGAGGTTTTAAGGTGTTAGTACAAAGTCCATGTGAGTCAGCAGAAGCTCTGCACTTCTTTTGGGCATGGATCAGGCCCTGCAGTACTCTGGATTTTGCTCAGATGTTTTTGCTGAAATAGTTCTTGCTATATCAAAGTTTCAGGAGCCTCAAACTGAGGAAAGTATGCCACCAAACCCTTGTCATTTTAACAGCAGTATTAAATATTTTGTAACTCCAGTCTGCGCAGGCTTTAAAAGAGAGCACTGTGTTTTGTAGCTGCAGTTCTGAATGGGAAGAGTAACCAGTTACTCACCCAAGGAGCATTTGTTTACAATGGGAGGCTTGAGCCATGCAATTCCATGTGCAAATTAAATGAGGGGGGGATGTTGGGTTTGAGGTTTATTTGTGAACAATTTGGCAGTCTTTGAATAAATTATATGAACTTACCCCACATAAATAAGCTCAAAATCTTTCTCTGCCCCTCCACCCCTATTTTGTATATTTGTTTGTATCCTTTTTGTCTGATTTAACAAAGGAGCTAAAATAAACATCTGCTCTCTTTCAGGGATAAATTTAGGGATTGCTTCCAAGATTTCAATAAGGCCTTTCATAAAGTGGATAAAAATAGAGATGGCTATGTAACAGTATGTGACCTGCACAGGATACTGCAAGAATTCAACTATTACCTTGATCATGACCAGTTCAGTAGTCTTCTAAACAGGTTTGTATGATTGTGTCCTAAACACCTCTTTGGTCACACCCAGCAAAGCCTGTAAACTTCTACTTAGTGTTAAGCAGATAAGAAGGTCTATTAAAACTAATGGAGATAGATACCCACATGCTTAAAACTGCATATAAGTGAAAAATCTTTTTAGGTAACATACTGATTCTGCAGGTAATGAGAGTGAAATGGCTTCTTAAATAAAAAAAGTATGCTTTGAGGACATGTATTTGCTAGTTTGTTTTATTTATTTAATTTCAATTTAATAGAGCAAGTGTGTGAAACGGATCCTGTTCAAAATAGAAACAGAATTAAAGCAGGTTATAAAATAGCAATCATTTTCAAATTAATTGCTGCCATGCAAAACTATGCTTTTAATTCTCTGTGTTAATACAAGTAAGAAGAAAAATCTCTTTTGTAGAGGCTGAAGAACACAAAGGACCTGCTCTAACATTAGGTAGCTGGGGTTCTCTGCACCAAACAGTCCCCCAAAGGTCATATGCCTGGCAGCACTGGGTTTTGTTCTCCAGAGCCTGCCAGAACAGACTCTTTTTTGAAATAAAATTAACAAAGTCTTTTCACAGTTCACCTTTAATTGGGTGATCAACTTTTTATGAATTGAAACCTTAATAGGAATCTGCTGCTTGTTTCTTTCTCAAAGACCTCTTGATGATAAACACCTCCATTCATTGTAATTTTGTGCAGATTATTCCTTTCTTGATCCAAAATAGTCTTTTCTAAATAATACAGAGTAGATTAGCATATGCATTTAGTTTTATTACTAAAATTTTAATGCCCACTTGGCAATTTATTTCTCCACTGAAATGGTGTTGATTATTTCCTTTTCCACACACTGTCTCCAATATTGGAGCCAGCTTGACACGGGTAGTATGTGGGAGTGCTGTGCAGCTGCAAGATGCAAAATCAGGGCTCTTGAATATTTTTTTTTCTTACTAGCAGATATGGGGTCTATAGTTAATTTCTTTTCCAGCCTGTTTTATAAAGCTTCCTCTTTGTTTTACTGGCTCTCCCCATTAATTAGACATTCTTGTAACTGGATATTCTGGTGATTGGTAGCTGAGGCATTGGTCCCCAGTGAGTTACTGTGGAAACAGATGATAAAAGTACATTACAGTAATTCAGTTTTAAACCAGAACATCAGGGTTGTGTAGTGGGGCCATCTCTTCTGTCAAGTTTTGCCTCTCTAGGACTTACCTTGACCATAATTCTAACAAAAAAGCTGAATGCAAGACTAAAAATAGTCCACCCTGTCCCCTGCAGCATAGGAGATATCTACCTAATACATGTGTGTACTAATCTATAGTTCTGATAATTGGCTATAAGATTATAAAAGTCTATTAAAAACCTCTCCATGGATGGTAACTGTATGGTCAATCTGGAATAATTTCATGGGAACCAGTGGATCTGTATCAAAACCCCCTAATGTATACTGTAGTCTGGAGACTCTCTGATTGTCTTTCCATGGTAGGAAATTCCATACACTGATGGCACTGACTTTATACTGGGTAAGCGAGAGCAGAGCAAGCCCCTGCTATTGTATTCCTTGTGGTGATGAACTCTACAGGCTCATTAGGCAGGTTTGAAGTCCCTGTTTAAAATATACCAGGTGTCTTTTCATTAAGTGGTCACAAGTCACAGAACATTGGAGGAAAGTAGCTTTTCATGTAATAGTTCTATTCATCTCGGTTTCATCTTTCATGCTAAATAACTTATTTTCACGTATTTTCTGCATATGTGAAGCTTGCCTTAGTTCCAGTCTTTTTATGGTAAAACATCTTTGAATAAAAATTAATTTAGTTTGGTAACAAAGTTCTCTGCAAAAAAAAATTTCCCCAAATCATATGCAGGAGCTCCTATTTCCCCATGCTGATATTTGATGCAAAAATGTATTCGCTGTTGTTACCTGGAGCTATCTGTAGTCAGCTCTGTAACCCACTGAATTTCCGATGTGACAGAGGATGAAATTCCCCAGTGTCTGTGATCCAGCAGATGTTTCAGCTGACAGACAGAAATTCGGCAAGTTGTGAGAGCAACCTGAAGAGCCCGTGGGCTGGGCTCCCAGGTATGGCCTGACCACAGGTGATCAGAAGAGAAACCCTCACTGGACAAAGCATGCCACGAGTCACGGGCAGCAGCTGCTGGGCCAAATGTGCCAGCCCTTTGTGCAGCTCAGTGGACACACCGAAGGAGGGAGGGCCAGTGCCTGACAGACAGTGAGGCTGAGTCCTGCCAAGAACCTGTAAAATAGTTTTCTAGTGGCCTGCCAAACTACAAAGAGTGAAGTACAGGTTGAGAGAGAAGGTAAGCCCTTCTGTCACAAACATAAAAAGCATTGTGTGGAACCTGGTTTGGTTTCCTCCCATGTGGTAGAGAAATCATGAGTGTAGACCTGTGCTGGTGCATCCATGAAACCTACCACAGAGCAGTACTGGATGTCCTAGTTTGTGTCTGGTGACAGCTTACCAGTCTGTACGTAGTTCTGCTTCTTTCTCTCAGAATTGTAATGATCATGACATATTGGGAGGCTTAAGCAGCACTTCAGCATCTGCGAATCAAAGGTATTTTTGTAAAGCAGAAAGTCAAAAGTACCAGCACTTAGCAGAAGAAACATCTACTCCTTAACAGAGTCTATTAGACTGTGTTTACGCTGTGACGTGAAAAGGAGATTTGAGGGCAGCGCTGGGAGCCTACATGCCCTCCAGCCACATTGGGGATGGTAAGCTCAGCAGCAGGTTGTGATCAAAATACTGTGCTGTGCCTAAAAAGAAAAAAAAAAAAATAATAATGCTGATGGACTGGAAGGTTTTGCACTTGGGCCCAGGCTAAAGCAGGTCTCCTCTTGAGCATCTTGAGATTGGCCTGCATCTGCATCCGAGAGTGTGGTTGCATCCAATTGATCAGCTTGGTGGCTTAGACCTGAGAAGGAGCTTGGGCTGGAACTAACAGGATTTATGGACTGACAGCACAAGCATACCCTGAAGTGCTGCTGCAGTACAAATAATACATCATGATAATTAATCAGCACAGACAACAGTGAGATAATTATTTAAAATCATTGATATCTCATTCTGTGTTTTTCCCTTAGCTTAGGAATCAGCATTCATGACAGCAAGCTCTCTTATTTTGATTTCCTGAGAGCAATTGATGATGGCAGAGCATCTAAATACCAACAGAGACAAAAGCAGGCTGCACCACCTGCAAGCTTTGCAGCGCTCAGCTTAGAACAGACCCTAATTAAGATAAAAGAAATAGTTGCATCATCTTATGATTTGTTGTACAAGGTAAGTTTCCTGTGGTCACCACATCTTATTTAATCTATATTTTTTTCTGCCTAGCTGGAGACTAACCCAAAGGCTTCAAAACTTTTCTGCTGTTAATTGAGTGCTACCAACAACCTTGGCCTATGTAGAAATAGCACCTTCTGACAACTGCAGACTTTTTAATTGATTGTCTTCTGGTAACTCCACAAAACAAGCATATCAAATCAAGCAGAGGGGTTTTGTGAAGATAAGGATTGGAAAGGAAAAAGCAAATAGCAAATTATCAGGACCCTTCTTCTCTTCCCCAAACTCCTTTTCCTCCTCCAGTTGTCTGTAAATTGTGTCCCAAGCATGTAAATCTCACGTCTTTCAAATAGCTCTGTTGAGTTTCCTAAGCTGAGACTTATTTTATGTCGATGTAATGTGCTACTGCAGGCAGGCATTATGGTTTTATCAGCGTGAGATGAAAGGATCACGTAGCAACTGAGGATACAGACATATGATCAGATGTGAGCACATTATAGTGGCTGTAGAAGTTAGCACCTGTCAGCTGGGGCTCTGCAACTATCTGCATTTATGCTCTTGGCCACTTCTGACTGACACAGACAGATAAGGTACATTAGCTGCTGAGCTGCAAGTTTCCTGGTTTTCCCACCTGTAAAATGAGAACAGTAAAATTAACCACTTCTCTCCAGGATTTTGAAAGCCCTGAATGAAAAAATGCTGTACATTAAGCAGTCTTAAACTGCTGTGTTGGAGCCTGCTGAAATGCAGCAGCCTCTAGACTAAATAATTCTTGATGCCACAGTAAGATTGCTTTCAAGCATGGGAAAGAATAATCAAAAAGACCTTGAAGGAAACATTCCTATCACAAAGAACTGGAGAGCCATCTCATCTGCATCTGCAGTTTCAGGTCCAGTTTAAGCTCATGGCTTTAGAGGCAGGCTTATGCCTGCAAAGATGGTCTCACTACCCCCATATCCCCAGCAATGTGGTCCTCCCACCTGCCTTGTGTCAAAACCAGTCCTTGTCTTCCTGTCCAAGGAGCAGGGTCAGGGAACTTCAACCTGAGAAAAGGCTGATCAGTTGGGCATGGCCATGGGAGAGCTGCTGCCTGCACAAGGGAGGGGAAGGGAACAGCGACGGGGAAGATGATGGGGGTAGAAATTCCCTGTCATCAATGGCTGCATTTCTGAAATCTCAATCTGTGGACTCTGTCCTGCATTAAAAATAACTCGGGCTTCCAACAAAGACATCATTAGTGTTGTCACTGGTGCAAGCACCCAAAAAAGTGTAGTACTATGGGAGAGGCTGTTTCTTTACAGAAATCTCTTTTCAAACAATTTGGAGACTGTTTGTGACATTTGTGAACTTACTAGGGCCATGTTGCCATTTTTGGCCACTATTGAACACGATACTGAAATATTTATATAATCACTTAACATTTTTCATAGTAAGGGAAAAAAAATCCTTCCTGTACTCTGCATTATTGACATAAGACATAGATAGATTCAATAGCACAGGTTACTTTTGGTAAATTTACAATATCTGTCCTCTCATCCCTGTGTGTCTTGGGAACAGAGAAGGTCACAGTTTTGTCTTCTGAGGGTATGATTTGAAAATGACTTTTGGCACAAACAAATTGTCCGTTTAGTCTTTTAGGATACCATTGGGTGGTTAATACAACTTCAGGGACCAAGGAATTTTCTCCACAGAGAGCCAGACTTTGTCCACCATGCTATGGAAAAGCAGAACTTTTTCTCATTTTCCTTACATGAGAAAATAAGGAAGTTCCCAATTTTCTTCTGAGACATTTTTTGAGTAACAGTTGCTGCCACCTATGTGATGAGGGACTCTAATAACATAAGCTTATAACAAAATATTTTGTTAGACGGATCTGAAAGCACAGTTCCTAGAGTCCAGCTAGTGGGGAAAAAAAAAACACCACACCGTCACATCCCATCCATGACAGTTCTACTACTGACTACAGACCTTTGAAGTTTCCTAACAAATAGTTTAAGAGTTCAGGTGGGTTGTCTCTGTCAGTATAATCATTTCCCATTCATTTTCACCATACTTGGTACAATGCATACTATATACTCAATGCTTTGTTTTTCCCATCAGCCTTTCAGTATGTAAGCAAAGATGAAACTTGCATATTAAGAAATTACAGAATCCTCTTTGGTGATCAAAGGATTCCCTTCCAATGTCCTTTGGATATATGGTAGCATTTGTTTTGCCAGTAGACACAGTTCATGTATGTTGAAATACACATTCTTAAACCCATTATTTAGAACAGCTCTAATGCTAAAACAAAAATTGCTGTATTGCACCAACATGCTACAGTGTTAGCAGACTAACGGGACTTTAACCTGAAGTTTTGAAAGGTGCAATATTCATTTACATTTATAATGTCAGTGATTTATGTGTGCGGCATCATAAATAAGGGGCAGAATAAAACAAGAGAACATGGTAAGTTAGTATCAGCCAGGCAGAATGAGAGCGGATATGACCCATGACTTCTCTAGACCTTGGTATTTCTGCCACTCATTTGGATTACTGTCTTGCATGCCTGCTGCTGCAACTGTGCTAAACTTAATCTGTTTCCCCTGGGAAACCTTTGGAAAACTCCCACGAAGAACAGGCTGGGCATTTTGTGCAAGGGAGGATGAGAAGAGAGCAAATAAGCCTTCAAGATGAGTGGGAGCTAATGATGATGAAGGACTATCAAGTCCTTTAGGGAGCAGAAAACAAACGTACCCTGCCAGGGACAAAGGGACAGTCATTTGGGGGGGGACACATGACAAAAGGCAAGTTACATATGCTCAGGTGAGTTTAGTTTAAAATACTTTAATTAAAAATATTTAAGGCAGCCCTTAAATATTTTTGTTTGTTTCCCCTCTTGTCTTAACAACTACCTTTTCTGCAATGTTTGAACACTTGATATAATACCTTTGTGCTTTTACTGTAAGTTGTTGTTTATTTCCATATTCATATTTACATGTGGTACAGAAATACAGGCTATTTTTGGCTTATTTCAACAATTGCATCTCATCTTTAAAAGAAAGGAAAGCTTCAAACTAAGTAAGGTTCTGGGAAATGTGTTTTGTTTCTTCATGTATAAAATACCTGCAAGTAAAAGGCATATGGGTCTCAGGTGTTTCTATGCGAACTGCTAAATGGTTGCTCAAAAAGCCTTCTCTATTGGAATGTCTAGGTTTGCTTAAATAATTTGAATTCTTGCTTCTCAGGCATTTTCTCTATTTGATAAAGAAGACACTGGAGTAATTAAAGCACTGGCATTTCGGCAAGTACTTGACCATTTCTGCTTCAAATTATCAGACAAGCAGTTCGGGCACCTTCTCAAGCACCTTAACCTTTGTGAGGACTTCACAGTAGGCTGGAAAGTTTTCCTGAAAAACATAAACGATCTCACAGAGGTAAGAAGAGCTACCAAGCTATAATATATTTCTTTAAAAGATACAATATGATGTGTTAGAAGTGACTGACTGACTAACTAAGCATGCAAAATTCACGTATCTTTCTGCTGATCTCAGTTGAACTCTGCTGAAGCCCTTGTCTCCTTACAAACTGCTCTCGGAAGTTAAGTCTTGCACTCATGTAGGTTTAGGTCTGTACATGTATGAAGTTGAAAGCATGACCACAGATACAGCCAGATTGCCCCAATGGGGCAACATAGGATGTGGGATATCGAAATATGCCCAATGATCCCTGACCTGTCTAGCTGGACTGGCAGGGGCCGGACAGAAAAATGAGTGGAGTGGGAAGCTCACCAGGTTCTTCATGCCAAACAGTAATAGCAGTGTAGACGCAGCAGGAAGGTCAAACACAGAGATTAGTCAAGAACGGAGAAAATCTTGACTGCAGTCACGGACAGAGTCTTCTGATGCTCTGAATATGCATGTCACAGCAAGTCAAATAAAACTAGATCTGCTGTTTCTCTGTGGCAGAGGTTTGTGTCCACAGTGCCTCACCTGGAGTTGTTCACTTGGTGCAGACTGCAGGAAGAGATCCTTCAGTTCATAATGACATCCTTTTATCAGTGCAGCAATCCTTACCATGTTTGTAAATAACAGGAACATTATCAAAAGCCTGAGTAAAAGAAGTCCCTGTCCTACTTTAATTTCACAGTCCTTCCCTTTCCTCTGGCTTCTCCCCTCTTAGTATGCCTTACCCAGGGGGAAGCGGCTATAAGTAGATCTGAGGGTGCAGGGGTCCAAATGACATTACCTTGCAGCCCATTTCTGGACTTGGCTAAGGATGTGAAAGCTGGTTACTAGCTAGATAAAAAGCAGTTCTAAAAAAAAGTAAGTATTAACTTGCATCTCGTTCTAAGAAGTAACTATGTTTCATTTTCAAAAGTATATGCTTGAAGCACAAATAAAATGAGAAAAATAATAATCATCACCCAATGGAAAACCATATAAAAAGCCTACCACTTTATTGCCATGGCGATAATAGAATGTTGTGCTAAACAAATCCGCATAGAGCTGTATGGTGATTAAATCTAGTGTCATAAAGTAGAAGCTGGAAAACCAGTGAGATCTGTCTCAGCCTCCTCACGTCCCAAGTCCAAGTCTGTCAGGCTTCAAAGAATCTCAGGGCCTCAGCGATTCACGAGAGGAGGAGGAGGCGGAAGGACCACAGGTTTGGACTGAAGGAGGACCCATAAACAGCTCCAAATGCTTGTAATGTGTTGTAGGCTTTTGTAGTGGGTTAGAGACTTTATGTCTGTCAGTTACCAATAGGCATAGCTTTACCAAAGTGCTTATTATAAGAGTAGCTTTATTTAAAATTTTATAAGGTTGCTTAAATGTATTTTATTCTCTGCAAATTTAGCATTAATATTTATAGTAGTGTAACTGTTACTTTGTCCTTAGTGGCAGGACTACATTTAATTATAGTTATTTAAAAAATAGTTGGGGATTTTTAAATATTTATATTTTCAGCTTATTAAAATTAAAATGCAATCTTAACAGAGATAATAGATTACATGGTTCTCAAGTGTAAAACAGTGGAATACTTTGTATAGGTTAGAAAATGCCACATTTCCCCCTTTCCTGCTTTTATGCTGATATAAATTCAGTAAGCTTCAACTGAGTCATACCAGCACAAAGACCAATTGTATGCAATATAACATATCTGTGCAATTATTTTAAGAATGTATTTGTGTGCTGTAACATTGACCCTCCAGCAAGCTTTCGTGTTAACTTTAGAATAGGTAGCTGCTTTTGTTAAGGAAGGTTTTGCTGTAATATCTTCTCATCCTCAAAGTAGGTGCTAAGCCTCCTTAACAACTTGACAGGCTGCACAATTCCTGGGATCAGAATCCGCAAGAGTGTACGTTTGTGGTGGGCTGACCCTGGCTGGGTGCCAGGTGCCCACCAAGCGGCTCTGTCACTGCTCCCCTCAGCTGGACAGGGTCAAGATAAGGACAGGGAGATCACTCACCAGTTTTTATATATATATATATATATATACACACACACACATAGAGAGAGAAATATATATATGTATGCTCCACCATTATGTATATATATCTATATACCTGCTCCACTGATAACCTCCCTGGGCTGCAGGGGCACAGCCTGCCTCACCCTGGGCTGCACCAGGGGCTGCAGGAGAATCTCTGCTCTGGCCCCTGGAGCCCCTCCTGCTGCACCGACCTGGGTGCCTGCAGGGCTGCTCCTCTCACATCCTCTCGCTCCTCTCCTCCAGCTGCTGTTGTGCAGTAACTTTTTCCCCCTCTTAAATGTATTACCCCAGAGGTGCTACCACCATCACTGATGGGCTTGGCCTTGGCCAGCGGCGGGTCCACCTTGGAGGTGGCGTTGGCTCTACTGGAACGGGGGGAAGCTTCTGGCAGCTTCTCACAGAAGCCACCCCTGTGGCCCCCCACTACCAAAACCTGGCCACACAAACCCAATACAGCATTTTAACATGAAGTCTCTTTAACAGTTAGTCCTCCAGGACCCCGAATACTTTCCACCTCAACTTAGCAAAAAAGTAAGCTGCCTCCACATCTTTCAGGAGGTAGTCAGTCCATGACAGGGCTGGGGCCTGCTTTTTTCAATATTGAGCGTTTACCTTGAACACTTTTCTGTGCTGTGTTAGGGGTAGAAGGGATAAATCCATCATTAAAATCTCAAATTAATCCACAAGGGAACATTTTTGAAAAGGCAAAACAAATACAAACCAGGTTCACAGTGCTGGTTCAGCTTCCAGATGCTCTCAAATCTTGTGTTTTCATTTTGGGTTCAACCCAAAATTTCCCACGCCTTTGCAATTTCATCCCACCCTGGGTTCACACGTATTCCTGGGCTCCTGTGCAGGTTCTGAGTGAAGGCTCGTTGTTAAATTATTCACTTCATCCAAACATGCTACAATTTTGGCCTGTAAAGTATATATCTAAATTAATGAGGTATGCAACTCATTCAGGCACGTTAGGAAAACTGATCATTATGCTATACAATTTGATCACTGAAGTATATTAAAAAGTAACAAGTAAAGTATGCAGCTTGATCATTAAAGTATGGAAAATTTACTGAACTAGTAAAGTATGAGCCTGGGATGACTTTTGTCTCAAACAGCACCTCATAAATAAAACCCGCAACCACAAAGGCAAACATTCACAAACCCAAAAGCCATACAGATTTAAGTTGTATTTTTTTCCTTAGAAAACAGCTGAATACAGGGAGATGAAAAAAATCTTGCGGAAATTATTTCTAAATGTTTTATGCATCACGTGGATCTTTTGATGGCTTTGACATATGCTGATAAGCTTTACATTCTGATTAACTCTCTAGAATGCACACTACAGTAGCTGTATATGAGCAGGATACCCACTTAAATACAGCTCTCTAGGGCCATAGGGCTGTACTATACAAAAATAGAATTAAAGAAATGTAAAACTAAGCAATATGATTGCATCTTCATATTCAGATAAGAAAGAACCAAGATTATGGCTCTTAGTTTGGATGTTGCTAATCAACTGCAGAAGAGCTGAGGAAGGAGACAGAGAGGACGTTGTCTTAGGTGGGATGCTATTAACTGCCAGTGGACTCTCTGAAGCTATTTGTAAAAGTCCAGACCCTGGAGCTGAGAATACGCATCAAGAACTTTTCTTGACTGACCTGCCAGTCTTGTGATTAATAAGGCCTGAGTGGAGCTCTTCTGAATTAAAATAAGTGGCTAATGCAGTCCAGCCTAAACAAAGCTGCACTTGGGAATCAGACCCCGCCCCAAAAGAAAATCTACTCACGTGTTCTTCCCCACTCTGAGCTATTTCAGATGTGGAAGGGGGAAAAAATAAAGAACATGTTAAAAGTGATAGTTCAGGGCATGCTGGTCAAATCTAGGACAGCAAGGTGTCCATCCAGAATCAGTACAACTGCACTATAGGGGGGACTATATGGGGAAAGGAGGGATGATGATCAGGGCCAAACAATTTGTTGTTTAGCCTTTCTGGAGCCGAAAGTGCTGAGTGATTTACTGCAAGCTTAGTAAACCTTCACCTGTCAAGTCCAGCAGTGAGTAGAAAGAGAGCAGGTCAGGTTGAGGAGATGACAGAGAGAAGGGGCAGGTCATCACTTGGGCCCATCCAAGGGCAGGAACTGAGATAACAAGGGGATTGCTGACACGTGTGTCTTTCAGCTGACAAAGGGAATTACTGGAGTGAGTAGAAACATATTCAGCAAAGCTTTTTATTAAAAAATGTGATTTCATCTAAAATGGTGAAATTTGGAAATCAGATTCACTTCCAGGACTTCTTTGCAGAAACAATTTCAGAACATTTCGATATCAAATTAGGCTTTTGATTTAGCTTTGTCCTGAACTTCCTGTTTCCACACTAAATTCTCCATTTTTATTTACATTTAGCTTCCTGTTCTGAGTTTCTCTTCAGTCTGTCTCATGTAGCAGAGTGCCTTCTTCAGCAGCTGAGTGCATTTTGCTTTCAGCCAGTTCCATCTAGTAAACCTTGTTTGTTCAGCCTTGATGCTCTTCCTGACAGAGAGAGCATCCTGCTTCTCCTTGGACCAGTACCTTCTTGAAGCCTGGCACTGTGAGAACTGTTCCTCCAGGTACCAGGGCTGAGGTCCAGGACCGGTTTCTGCTGTTCGCTAGTGAAAAGCACAGGTACATCATCACTGCCTCCATCTTTGTTGGGCATGTTGTTGGTGGAGAGTCTACAGAGCTAAAGCCACTTGGTCTCACATCACATTGCTCTCAGTAACAGCTGCTACAACCCCTGCCTGTAAAATGCAAATATACAGCTTCCTTGTGATCTCAGAAACTATTCCTAAATCAACAAAGGGGACAGCACTGACACAGCTTACCAGCTCCACGAACAGAGGGTGGCTGTGATTCCCCAAACACCGATTGGCTTGCAAGTGATGAAACACACAGAGTGCAACTCTACAGTGTATCTGTTACAACCGTATCGTTCCGGAGCTCAAAACACCCATGCAACAGAGAATTGACATCCTCAGTCTTTCCACAACCTTGCTTCCTAAATTCAGTGGTGTTACTAACCCAGCCCTTATGCACTGTGTTCAGGCATGGGGACCTGACATTCAGAATCCATAAGGACCTGCTCCACAGAGGTGGTACTTTTCCCTGTCATGGGTGTGGGAGTTTTACAGGTTTATTCATTACTCACTGTCCCCACCTGTTGAACCTCTGGGCCCTCCTGTTCTGGGCCACTGATTTGATTAGACAACTGACTGTCATCAGGCATGACCCGTCGCACCAGCAGCAGAGATTAGCAGGCCTGCTGTTTATGTCCCTACCCTCAGCCAGCAGCACCACAAACTTTCTCTGTCCTCATGTAGAAGAGCTGTGCTCCAGGGGAATACCCCTACTGGGATACCTACATGTTTGCATCTATTTTCCAGTATTATATATCCGCTTTAGGCTGAGAAACCCTCCCCATGGCTACAGTGTGCTGTCCCTCATTGTGCCAGGATATCTGGTTTGGGATCTTTCCCCATTGACAAGCCTGCCAAAGCTGTATCTCTCTCTCCTTCTCTGTTCTGACTAATGAAGAAAAGGGTTTAATGGAATTTTAAAATGGCAAGTTGTTCCTTGGGATGGAAGCCTTTCTCTCTATATTTACTAAGAGTAGAGGAAAAGGACAAAGGGGTAATGGAAAGTAGGGAACATAGTATTGACCATCAGGCATACTGCTGATGGGCTAGACACTGCTGGGGAGACAGAGGAGCAGGGAAGCCTTGCTGTGGCTCCTGCTTCTTTACCCAGTTCTACCTAGGCTTAATATTTCATAGTTATTTAATACAATATTTTAATTACATTTAGAGGAATGTGGCTTTTTTCTAGACAAGGCAGAGATTGGCATGTGGGCCATCTTTGACTCGCTGTGTCAAATCATTTTGTCAAACTATCGTATACCGTTAGATACTCTAAACACTACCAAGAGTATTTTGTCCTGCAAATGTGATCTCAAAACTTGAATCTGTCTGTTGCAAACAGTTGGTCAAAAAGAAAATGGTACATTACAGAATGACCCTCAATGGAGTTTTCATCTTTTATTTATAATTGGGTTTATTATTGCAAGCTCTTGTTGCACACCAGCTATCAAATCCTCAGCAGGCGTAAATCAGCACTCAGGTTAATGGAGCTAGACTGATCACTGCCAGATGAGGATACAGCTCTGCTTGTAACCCAGGGATGAAATACAAGCTTCTCTGTAGTGCTGAGACTGAGGGCTAGAAGAGGGCTGGCTGGTGAATTACTGGTTATCTGAACGTGAGAAGAAAATACATTTCCACCTCAGTCCACACTCAGGCAACTAACTCTGCTGCTTCCACACATCTTTAGGGAAGAGCATTTATGGAAAACAACTTGAAGATACATGTTGTAAGGGTAAAGGAGGGTCCATGGGCTAAGCACAGAAACCTTTAAAACTGTGTAAACTGTCAAAGGGGTGATTACTTCTGGCAGAGGTCATCCTCACATCCAAAGAGGAAAATGCATCCTTCTTCAGGGGAAGACAAAGCCTTCTTGTGTACGCTGTTTCCCAACACCTGTGCTTTCTGAGCCTCCCCAGAAAAGGAGGAAGGTCAGACTGTGACAGGGCAGGGAACAGGACCAGAGAAATTGTAATTTATCTTGATGTACCGATTTACTTTCTAATTAAGAATTCCTCTTAATAGAAAAATCTTCCAGAAACAGGAAGGAGCTGCAGGAATGGAGCTTCACTGAGCAGGTGTGGGTGGCAGAGCCTTCTTTTATTACTAATCAGCATAGTTATGCCATTTATAGAAAAGGACATGAGGCTGTGCAAGGAACTCTCTAGAGAAGAAAAATACACCCCTGCTTTGAACAGCAAGCGAGCTACATAGGGTGGCCCATAAGAAAAGCCTTGTAATAATGCCTCCACTCTCTTGGTGAAAGCAGGAGGTGAAAGTGGATTTACATGGTCCTCCCAAGGCACTCTCAAATTCTGCCAGGAGGGGCAAGAAAGCCTGTGAAGAGCTGAGCAGGACAGTCAGGTAACTTGGACGTCACAGCTTAAGGTGGCAGCTGGCAGTTGGCCATGGTGCGGGGCAGGTACGGTGGTCTGAGAAGCTACAAAGCAGGAGCGGGCTGCAGAGTCCTGGCCCCTGAGTTCTGAAGTGGTAGACATACAGAGCTTGGTGGGATGAGTGGAGCACATGGCAGCAAGTACCAGAAAATCCCTGAAAGAGAAGTAAGCCCTTTTTCATCCAACAAAAGTTCTTCTATAAACGCTCTTGTAAGCACTGCTCGGACATGCGCTGCACAGCTCTGGGACAGCTTCATTCCTGTTGCTCCCTCTCGAGCTTGAAGTGAGACAGAGCAAACCTAAGAAATGTATCCACCACTGTGTATAAGGTTAGTTTCAAATGGAAAAATGGCACTTACATGTCCAGATGCCCAGGCTAGTCTGAGATTTTAGGCTCCAGCTCCATTATTTCTGCTAAAGGAGATTATTTTAGCAGCAGATGATAGAGTCATAGACATACACTGAATGTACTAACTGCATATGGTAGATGAGTGTAACACAATAAACTGAATAGAAAAGGGTTTCTAGTTTTCAATCAGTAGTTCGCAAAAAGAGAAAGTGATTTATTTTTTTTTGTTGGCTCTCTAACCATTTTAAGACCAAAGTGTGTTAGGTCTTATGAAATAAACAAAAAACTCTTGAAATTAAATATATTAGGAAAGCTTACACTTACAAAATATGTTTCTTTAAAAGGTTGCAGAGCAGCAATACTTTCCCTAAGTCTCTGGATTCATTAGAATAATTAAAAGCAGCGGTGCCACGTTTTTTAGTTGCAGTAATGTCCGGCAGGCAGAAGGTGTGCCCTGCACTGGACCGTGCCCGGCAATTTTCATTTCCTGACTACAGCACGAACCGCTTTCTGCGTCTGCACGCGTGATTCCACTTCTCGTATTTCTTCTCTTAATAATAATGCAGCCATAATGTCTGTCCCACACGTATGTTTTATGTAAAGCATGGTTAATATTGAAAAGTGTTATTTGCATCTGAAGATAGTGGAGTCTTTTCTGATTAGGAGGCAGGTTTCTTGCAGTTCTGTAGGAAACATATTTTCTTTTCCATCCAGTTATAATGATCATGTGAGACGTGACAAGGAAACAGGAGCGCAGGACCAAAAGCCATCTGTTTCTTTTTTGGTATTTCATATTGCATGGAGCAAGAAGGTGGCAAAGCGTATATGCTTAAACATGGGGGTATAAAATATGATAGTAACATTTAACATGCTGTAAAGAAATGTCTTTGAACCAAAACCAGATTTTTTTTTTGTTGTTTTTACCAGGTCCTGTTACCACAGCTGTAGTAAAACTGGCTGCCACTTGTGTTTGTGAAAACTTTGCTTATAAGCTATTTTACATATTTAGTTTAGACAATACAGTGGGTGGAAAGTCGGCTTCCATTCCTGAAAATAAGTCGTTTCTTCTTCAAAATTCTGGTACTGCCTTGTTTTATTACTATTGTTATTCCACATTGTGCCATTCCTGAGACTACTTTTATAAGTGAAACTTGGTTTCATTCTAAAAACTGAAGTTTACTGCTAATTCTGGAAGTCGAACGTAAATGTTGAACAGATTTAATTGATATTTAAGTTTATGAAATGTACCCTTTTGCATGCACAGTTAGACTTTTGGCATTCTCAGATACGTCCATACCAAAGCCTAGCAGTGCTTTACTCTGCAGTTTATTCCAACCAACTGTATTTTGTCCTTTTTGTTTCTGTTTGCCATATGACCCTCTACTGTATTTACCCAAAGTGTGGATTTCCACCCTGCAGACTGCATAATGGGCGTTTAGTTAGCAATAAGCTCCAGTGGTGGATTTTAAAAGCCATACACCAGTGGTGGATTTGAAAGCAACACACTGAAAAAAAAGGGGTTGTGCAATTAACACACTCGTACCCAACCCCTTCTCTGCTTTCCCCTCACACATTCTGTACCTTTGCAGCCTTCAACTGCATCGTTTAGCTGCAGTATCCCTACTGTGGATGACCAGATTAAAAAGTACCGCATAAATGTACCTGGAACTTAGAAAGGAAAGGGAAATAATTGCCCTCTCTTTCATCTCAGGACTGAAGTGCCTTTTCAATCAAAGAGATTTCCACTGCGTGCTAAAGACTATTCAGATGAGAAGAATACGTTGGGATATTTGGGCTAGTTAGCGCTCACTTCCCTTTTTTCTGCATTAACAGAATAGCACTCTTTGTAAGATCACCCCATTTTTTTAGACCTTTGTAAAAGTTTAGGTCAGTCTTGGAGTCCTCTGCTTTTGTTGGCCTGTCACCAGTTGGATCCCATTTATAGAGAGTCTATTTTTCCCTTAACTACTTGCATAGCTCCTTTTCTCTTTTGTGGTGCAAGCCAGAATTCCTGGAAGCAGGTTTTACTGCCTGCGGGATCTCCAAGGCCGCCTTCTCCATGGACATTTCCCTCTTTGGCTGGCTGAATGCCACACTGTGATTTATAATTTATTCAGTGGATCCATTACTGATTCTCTGTGTATGTTTTTTGTCTAGACTGAGGAAGGGCAAAAAGTCATTCCGCCAAAGTCTTCTTGGGAGCTGTCAGAGAGAGGCATCCTCTCACAGATACAAGAAGTAGTGACTGCTGCTTTTAACACAATTGCACAAGAGTTTCAAGATATTGGCTCTTCAAAAGATAACACAGAGGAGTCCTGGGATATAAGTAGCTGATGTTTTCAATGTCTGACTGAAGAACAAGTAAGAAAACTATATTATTTTGTCTTGTTAATCCAAGTGTACAACTGGGTAAATTGGCTGGAGACATGCGTTTGCATACTGTTGTGTATAGGCAAGTAGTTTAAAAATTTGGATGAAATAAAAATGTTTTAAGACTATCATTCCATGAACATTTGTTGCTACATTTGTGGGAGCTTATTTTTTCCCTTGTCTCTGAGTATGGGGTATGAACTATAATAATCATAGGCTTTCTAAAGCAAAGTCACGGAGATGCTATTGCTAATAGCGAAGGTGTGAATTTAAAGCACAGTAGTTCTCTTTCACTAGCTCTTTATCTGTATATTTGCTATTTTAAAAGTTTCTTTTTTCAGTTTTAAGTTAATCCGCTTCCAGCTGATGGGGAAAAAAACCTTCTCAGCATGGAATAAAAAGTACTTCCATGGGGAGCTAATGCAAATTCCTTTTTCTCAGCAGCTATTTTGTCCTATCCCTGTTGGACAAAGAAAGGGGCAAGCATTTGACATTTTCCGGCCACCTCTCAGCTACTTTTCTGGGTTAAAGATTCCCCCAGATTAGCGTCAGTAGAGTTTATGTAACCTTGAATTTAGCTTGAGTGACTGAAGCCATGGCATGAATCTGGCAGTACAAACCATCTGATTAGCCCAGTGCTAATCTCAGGGGAACCTGAGAGGCCGGTCTTTCGTAAGATTCTGCTTCTGCTGAACTTTAAATGAAAAAAAGCATTTTTTATCTTTGCTAATGCTGGTTCAATGATTTGTTGCTACATTTGTGGGAGCTTATTTTTTCCCTTGTCTCTGAGTATGGGGTATGAACTATAATAATCATAGGCTTTCTAAAGCAAAGTCACGGAGATGCTATTGCTAATAGCGAAGGTGTGAATTTAAAGCACAGTAGTTCTCTTTCACTAGCTCTTTATCTGTATATTTGCTATTTTAAAAGTTTCTTTTTTCAGTTTTAAGTTAATCCGCTTCCAGCTGATGGGGAAAAAAACCTTCTCAGCATGGAATAAAAAGTACTTCCATGGGGAGCTAATGCAAATTCCTTTTTCTCAGCAGCTATTTTGTCCTATCCCTGTTGGACAAAGAAAGGGGCAAGCATTTGACATTTTCCGGCCACCTCTCAGCTACTTTTCTGGGTTAAAGATTCCCCCAGATTAGCGTCAGTAGAGTTTATGTAACCTTGAATTTAGCTTGAGTGACTGAAGCCATGGCATGAATCTGGCAGTACAAACCATCTGATTAGCCCAGTGCTAATCTCAGGGGAACCTGAGAGGCCGGTCTTTCGTAAGATTCTGCTTCTGCTGAACTTTAAATGAAAAAAAGCATTTTTTATCTTTGCTAATGCTGGTTCAATGTGTCTTTTCCTAGTCCAAATACTAGGTGAGTAATAAAACAGAGGGAACCTTGACTAAAAGATTTCAGATTTTACTTAACAGCACTCTAACCTTCATGCTCACGATTGCATCAATGCCATTTGGCAGCAAACTGAAAGACAAGACACAGAGCCTCCAAATGCATAGACATATCTGCACTACCGAAACTTATTTTGGTACTTTGCTCATTCATACATAGCCTCTGATTTCTTGGCCCTGTACATCCCACCAATATTTTTTACTATATGTTGCAGATGGGAGTAGGGCCTGCTTGTAATTACAGCAAAGATAGATAGTACACAGTCTGCCATGTTATCAGGTGCTGCGATGCGTGTGTAAAGTTGCAAATGAAAGCACTGAAAAAAATCAACATATTTTCCACTTCCCCCTTGAAAATAGCAGAAAGAAACCCAAATGGCCTGCTCTATTCCTAGTAGTCATACGTCTGGTGAGGTACCAAGTGCAAGTGCCAGAACTGAACCTGGAGCCTCAACACCAGGTGAAAGGAAAAGTGAAAATGTGGTGATACTCTTTCCTCACCCCCATGAACCGCTGAACAGAAACGCCAGGGTGAGCTCACAGCTGAGCCCCGGCTGAGGCAGGAGAACACACACCTTCCTGAGCTGTGAATAATCTCTTCTTTTTTTCTTTTTTTGGAAGCAGTAAGGCAAGCATCTCCAGCTGAAGAGTCCTCCAGACTGGATCCTGTCTACTTTACACTCAAGAAGAAGCGAAGGGACACAGGAGCTATTTTATACTTAAAAGAACCTCAGACAAGTGAAGAAAAAAAATTTGATAGAAACTGTCATCCATAATAGCAACAAGAAGCAGGCCTGAGGAGCCTCATTTATATAAGCAGCAGCCTCTGTGTGAGTGAGACTCAAGCCCTGTATCTCCAGAGATATTTTGATTTTGACAGGCCTCTCAAAGATATGCCTACGTATATCTATATGAAGATGCCCCAGGAGAGCCTTCCAATCTGGGTACTGGGTTTGCCACTGCTAATCCAAACCCCTGTCGTTCAGGCTGTTGTCACTGCTCAAAGTTGCCACAGAAGTGTTACTAATAGTCACAGTCTGGATGACTTCACAGAAAATGTTGTCTTTTATCCTTTTCTGGATGATGGCCACTTACTGTTTGTTATTAGCAAGGCTCAGCTGGAATCTGTATCAAGTAGTGGATGAAGAATTTCCTCCTGAAGTTTGGCTTCTTGGTCTTCGGAATTTCTGATGCTGTGACCTTTTTCATAAAAGGCTAAGGATGGTAAATGTGCTGCAAGCAAGGTGTTGATTAATACCTTGCTGACTGACATCCCCCTTTTTATCATGGGCACTTTTCTTCTCTCTACTTGAACTCCCTTGACTTGCTTGAACTATCCTCAATCCCCCAAACGGCTAAACTTTGTTGGATATTGAAACAGTTTCTATCTATAGCTAACCCAGCTCATCGGGGTATTGTTCTATTTAATTGAAGTTTGTAATACACTTTGAGATCCTCGTATGAAGTGTGAAGTATAATCACAAGCGCAAAATAGAATTGTTTATAATTCATAATGTGGTGGCAGCCCATTGGTTTCCCCCAATGGGGGAAAGTTGAAAGGAAATTCAAAATGTATCCTTTGCCCTTTGAAGTTTGACTGCAACTTGGCACATGCATCAAAGAGGTGACTAGTTTCCTTTAGGGTTTAAGTCTCTGCCGAAAAAGATCAAATCAAAAGCAATCTGAGGTTCCCAATTAGGTTTATATTAAAAATCAATAATGAAGACCCTAGAAAGACATACCGATGACTCTTGAAACACTTGCAAAATGAGTGCAGCTCCTTTAAGGGCAGGCTGTGATAATCCTTGCTTTGATTAGTAGCTTATATCATGAGTAGTCCCATTTAATTCAGTGCAGCTACTTACTGAATAAAGTGCTGTTTGGTGGGAAATCAGCCCAGCCTTGTCCTTATGATTCCATACGTAGCCCAGAGGGTGGGCTACTTGCCCTGTGTCGGACCAAGCAGCCACATGGACCTCCATGGGCAGCAGAAGCAAAGGTATCAGCAGCTGCACCCAGGTCTTCTGTAGGCTGGCCGTACTGTAGAGGTACAGTTCCTGGCCATACATCGTGACTATATGTGAATCTAAAGGCTGTAAAGATTTCCTGCTATGTTCTTTCGTGCCGATTCATTTTTGCCCTCAGGGTGAAATAATTTGTTGATGCAAATACAATAACTGAGGAACCTTAATGGCCTCCTGAGATGGCAGTATAACTTAGGTGCACCTGATAGCATGAGAAATTCGCCTCAACGGTACTTAGCCAGGATACGAGTGCACCATGTATTTGATTTACATCTCATGTTAAAGCGTTATTCTTCTATACTGCAGCTCAATCACTGTGTCTAATCACAGGGTTTAGTACTTCAAACAGCACACTAAGGGCCCAATTCAATTAAAAAATGTCCTGCAGAAATCCTTTTTTCATTGTTTCCCAGCCTTGTGCAGGCTTCTGCAGAGAAGCTGTGATTTTTTTAATAAGATGGGCCCTAGGATTCCTTCTGTTCCAAGGCATTCTCTCCCTTCCTTTTCGAGATGTTTTGTCGTATCCTTACTACATAAGGGGATTCTGTTGTTGTAAAACTAGCATTTACAAAAGTCATCTTTTGCTTCTTCCTTAGTTTGAAAATTTTCTCAACACAGTGGATGTCAGCACTGGTGGACAGTTGAAGTATCAGGACTTGTTGAAGAACTTCAGCTCAGAACTTGTAACGATGCCATCGAGCACTCCCAATGCAACTTGTTCTGCAGCTTTGACCAAGCCAGCTACCTGCACTGTGCAGAGGCAACTTGTGTCTTCTCAGCCTCAACGTCCCAAGACATCGTCTTCTCTAGTAGGGCAAAAGAGTGTAAGTGTAATTGTTTTATGAATTGTCTGGATTTTCATTTCTGTGCACAGGCTAAAAATAATACCTGTGGAACTCAGTGAAGGTATTCCTCTTGATTGCCCATGAAATCAGGCACAAAAACCTGTTGATAAGCAAACGAGGTAATTTGCAAAACTGCATTGCAATGAACAAAAATTGAGCCAGATAGGAACGCCACTGAAGTCAAAGGGTGTATGTCAGTTTATACCAATAGCATTCCCTGCTCTTACCGTACACATATCCATCAGAGCTGTATGGCAAATAAAATTTCTGTGTTTAAGCACAATCAGATTTCTGAGAACAAAGCAAACATCCCAAATTACAAAGGTCCAATAGCTGCAAAAGCAGCATTAAAAAATACAGACAGCTTATCTGTGGTCATCTGACAAAGCTAGGCAAGATTGGCAGTTGCAATTTTCTAAAAGATGTTTCCTGACCTGTTCAAAAACATTCTGGTGGTCTTGCTTGCTTTCTGGTGGGTGCCAAATTACAGCTGTTAATGCTTGATAGTCTGATAGACTTACTGTGAAGGCGTGCCAAATTACAGCTGTTAATGCTTGATAGTCTAACTGATAGACTTACTGTGAAGGTCAGTGGTCTGAGAGAGGTAAGTGGATTAGGAAAGCGGTAGTTTTGCTTCATTTTTGCATCCATACCTATACTTCACATCAGTAATGCACTTTGGTCCTCTCCACTGCTGTGCTGGCCTCTTACCCCAGTGCCAGAATTCACAGAAAGGAGAGGAAATCATTACAGGCAGAAAAATTAAATATCCCCATTGTGGAGCTGCACCTACCTATGTCACTTTCTTTGGCCACAACCAAACCTACAACAGAAAAATAAAAGAAATATTCAGTACCCAGAACATGCTTGGATTTTCTGACTACTTCTACATGGAGATGTTTAGCTACTGAAAAAGAAATAACAGATTGAGCAAATTAAAGATGCAAACAACTTGTCAGGGCTGGTGAATCTAAACATTGGCCCATTGCTAGCTCAATTATTGCATTAACTGTAGGTTCTTTCTTGAAAAGCCCAGGCAATTAGCTGCATGCACCCTTCATGCTTTGATCCAGTTCCCAGAGAAAGCAATGGAAAATTCCTCGTTACTGCCTGTGAATGCCAGATTGGGCAGTACAAGACAATAGGAAGGGAAGTTAAGTCTCCCCAAACTTATGGCTGTTGGAAAGACCCCAGCCAGCCTGAACATGATCAGGACGAATGTTCCTGCAGTATTCATTGCATGGAAATGTGTGTGAGGCCTCACCAAGTCTGCACCAGTGAGACCCTCAAGTGAGTACTGGGAAATCTCACTAAATACGAGATTATATGTTGGATCTGGAAGCACAAATACCTCCTGTGCATGTATCATACAGCGGTAGGCTGAGGCTTTGCTTCCAGCTCACCCACAGCACTGCTGAGGCACCAGTCAAAAAGGCACTGAGATCCTCTCACGTTATTCCTTCTGTGACTCTGCATAGGACCAGGGATTCTCCCAGTAACAAATCAAAGCAATGTTATTTCATAATTCAGTGACTTTGCACTGGTTTGTTTGTTTGTTTGTTCTAAGATGGCACTACATAGTTTTTTTGAACACGCTATCCGTTTTTTAATAAGAAACAGTTTGGAGAAATAAAAGATTTACAAATTAAGCCAAATAAAGAAAAAGTGGTCAAGGCCCCTTAAATGACTAGCGTATTTTGACACTAAGAGTATTCTCACATTTTTACCTACAGTTTTGCAGGCACAATTCAAATCAGACTTAGAAGTGGCTTAAATGGTACATTAACCTCAAGTCTGGAAGACCGGAAATGGGATTTGTCATCTAGTAGTTCGTCTATACAACCAGTAAAACTCAACAGAAAAAAATTACCATTATCTCTTGCTTTTAGATAACAACATCCAGTCGTCCTCAGACAACAACTTGTTCTGCACCTACCCTTAACTGCGAAGCAATAGAAAATAAGATAAAAAAGAACATCCAACATTCCTGGAGAGACATACTGAAAGTATGCCAAGAGAAGGATGTCGGCAAGCTAGGAGAAATCCCCGTGTCAGACTTCCCAGGTTTGTTACCATCTGAAAAGTGCTTCATTCATTCTTAGATGCGTTCTGTTTTCTTTCTTGTGTCCCAGCCATAGGAACATCTGGCTTCTAGTAGGTGGTATCCACTGCATGATTGCTCCAGGTACCACCCTGCTTTTGCAGAGCAGAACAGCTTACAGTAGCCTGGAGTGCAATACATTCATGTTCCTATCCGGAACTAGCTGCTGCTTGGAAAAAGAGCGTGTGGCTTTGCTTTTGGGTACTTAGGGCAACAAGTTTCTCATCACCTTCCCCTTTCCATGCCTGGGGATATTGGAATAAATAGATTCACCAGTCTTTTCCTTGTGTGTGCTTCTGGTTGCACTGGTCTTGATGGCTGAATGCCTCTTGATTTGAAAGGACCCTGGAATTTACTCTCAGAAGAGCTCAGCTATGCTGCTCGTCTGTGTTGTTCTTTTCTAGAGAGAGGATTTGCTGCGCCTTTGTTTGGGCACTCACATGTGTGATAAGGCAGTGTGCACCTGTGTAATGAAATGTAAAGTCCTGGCTATAAGAACATGTTAGCCTATCAGGCCTTTTATCTCAGTTAATGTCAAAGAATACTTCTTGTTCATTTAAAATCAAAATGACGTGTTATCAGTTCCCTGAAACCCTGTAGATTGTGAACTGCCACCTGATAAATTTAGGCATATGCATATACCTGCACATAGCAAGAACTGCGTACCACACTTACGCAGCAGTCACTGCAGCTGATGACCTGTCAACATATCCCTGCTGAAACACGGGAACACAGGGCAGCGACTGGCTATTTTTAAGAACGACAGAATGAATATTCTTTCTTTGCATTTCAGATATAGCAGAGAAGTTCAATTTGGATTTAAGCGAAGGGGAAATTAACCAAGTAACAACAAAATACGATTTAAACAAAAATGGAAGATTTGCATACTATAACTTTCTTCAAAGTTGTATCTTGTTATTAAAACCACAGGAACGCTCACTGCTACAGAGGGTAATTATACAGAAGCCACAAAAGCCGGTAGGTACAAAACTTATAAAAATCAAAATGGCAATTTTTTTTCCGTTTCTGCTGTACTGACAGGATAGTTCATGGCCTGTTTCTATAGTCACTTTGTGCAGGGACTTTCCAGCATTCTCTTATTTAATCCCATGATATTAATTGCCTAGTATTCATTTGGTATCTCCTTCAGTTGGAGGATTTAATTCCTTGGGATCGTGCTCTATGTATCCAGGTTATATGGTAAATTGGCTAAATTGGCTAAAATTTGGATAATAATTCCAAACAGAAAACACAGGAACTGATGGTTTAAGACCTTTGTTGAACTAAATAAAAATCAAGCTAGGAGTAAAACGTGCATGGGATGTGATTTAGGATGGCCCTGATCTTGTCAGCAAGCTGTGCCTCTGCTCCGCACCCGGCACTGTGAGAAAAGCCCAGAGGAAGCTCTCACTTGCACTGCTCCTAATGGTCACTAAAAACATCTAGTAGCCAGGACTGGCCAGCACACATTGCTCCCTCACAGCTCTCCCTGCCACACGTCTCTGCTTCCCAAGCTGTGACGAAGAGGCAAAAGTGTCCCAGCAAGGCAGCCACATGCAGGCTGTTCCCCTCTGCCCATGGGTCCGCTCTGGGGCAGAAAAGATCAAAAGAGATACAGAAATTTGGCTCTCATGGCCCAGAAAGGACGGCATCAGTAATAGCCCAATCAAGTTATGCAGTAGGAACGGTGTCAAGTTATGCAGTAGGAACGGTGCCAAATTCCAAATCTGCTAATTCAGCGAGCCTGCTACATTTTTAGGCTGTTTCTGACTGTGCCTAATTAGTTTAGATATGGTTAGTAGCAGCATTTTATAGAGAAATTACATTACCAAACTGTTTTCAGATGTGGAATGAACAGATTGCTACCAAGGTATGAACAGAGTATCATTAGGAATTATCAAGTATTCACTACCAGTAGGGAGAGTAAGGTAAAACTACTAAGTTTTGCATCAAAGAACCTCATTATCTTACATAAGGTTTCTTTTATACACAAATTTGGTGCTGCAAAATTCCATCCCAGCTTTCTGGAGTGGATAAAGCAGTAATTTTTAAGTGCCTATGTAGTTGTCTCAAATAATTTTTATTTTATTTATTCTATTCAGAAAAAATAATAAAGGTCTCAGTGCATTTTCTGAGCACCTTTATATAATGTAATATTCGAAGTGAAATTTCTTCATAGGTTGCTCAGCCCATTCCACCTCATAAGTGTACAGATGCATACGAAAAGGAATAATAAAAAGAAAAAAAAAAACCCAAAACAAATAAAATGGGTTTTTTCTGGTGGCAGGCACAATTCCTTCTCTTTCTCAAAAGCCTGACAGAATCAATGGCCTAGGGCTTCAAGGAAGCATCCAGGCTCTGAACTATGAAAATAACCCAAGTCGAAATCATCGTGAAGTGCCCTATCCCTCCCTTCAGCCCATAAGAAAACTCAGTACTTTGGGTCGGAAACTGCATTCTTCACGTAGCCACTCTTTTCTCAGCCACGTAGGCTGTAGGAGGAATGTCCCAAGAGGACAGAAAGAAGGCACAGCTGCTCTCCAGGCCTCCTATAACTCATTTAGGTGCAGCACAGCCCCTGTGTCCACATAGTAGATGTATAAAGCCAAGAGTGCACACAAGGAGATGCTTGTAGAAACTCCACTGGCACGTGCAACGGGCACAAGCAGGGCACTATTGACTTACCCAATTACAAGAATAAATACCAGGAGAGCATAGGGGGAAGCTGAGATGGAGCTGTCTTTTAAGAAAATAGTAGAGCAGATCCAGACCCTGCAGGTGGACTGGGGCTTGCTGATTTTTCCCACAGTCCCTTACTCATCACCCCAGTGTTAAAGCTTTGTACAAGTGGAATTAATTTTGCTTTAATGAATAGTTCTGTAGTTCACATATGTTCAGCATACACCAATGTAACAAGTTTATCCAGGCTAAAACAACAGGCCACAACATGTCCCAAGGAAAATTAACCCTTCGGTCCAGCTGCAGAAAGGTTCAAAAGCTGGTTACAAGGTATTTTATGTACTGGGAAAAGTGTACAGTAGGGTTTGGGTATTTCAGCAATACTGTTCTGCTCCCACAGTTGGCTTATGCATTCAGTCACTTTTAAGCAAAAATTTCACTCTGAAAAATGAACACTGCAGAGAATTAAAAATGACTGAAAGAGGGAGTTGAAACAAGGACAAGCATAATACATGTGAAAACACTGAGCTCTGAGCAGAAGTAGCACTGACTTCAGAATCAGTTTCAAATAATAAAAAGTGAGGGCTTTGACAGCGATTAAGTAAATATACCATCTGCACTTCCCAAGAATATCAAAATGTTATAGGTTAAAATAATCTTGTGTAAACAGTATCTTGAAATAATTTGTAAACAAGCACTCAGCAGCCAGTCGCAGATTAAGGCAGCATTACAGTCCAACACCATTTCATTCTGCATCATAGTTGTGCCCAGTTGTGCTCATGATGGTGTTCATAAATGCGAGTCTTTCTCATCCAACTCTGTTAGATGAGTCCTGGACCGCAAACCCCGTCATTCTTCAGCGCAATGCTGAGAATTCAGCCCCAGATCTTGCGCTGCTGGAGACCAATGAAGCGAACTTTTAAATCCTGTGATGAAAGTCATACCGGACTGTTACCTATTGCAGATTTCAGACAAGTAAGTTGCATTTAGCAATTAATAGTTGGGAAATTACAGTAGTCTAATCTGAGCTTCCTGACTGAAAACTTTCTGAAAAATGGTACTGAACCAGAACCCATGAACTCATCCTGGCCCCTCTTTGTGCCTTCATCTCTGACCGTTACTCAGGGTAATCCTTCTCCACACGTGATTACACTTCCTTGAGGTCTTAGTGGGGTCCTGAATAGACAAAACAGAGACAAACCTTAGTCCTTATACGAAGTTTAAACATGTATCTTTCACAAACACATGGGAAGGGAACAGAAGCGTGCCTTCTGGCAGGTCTCCCTTCAGGCACTGCTGCAGCTGCAGGACCCTGTGACCCTCCAACTGGTGCGGTCCCTTCTAAATGTGGATCGGGCTCAAGCAATCCCACTTGAGAGTCTCTGTTTCTGGTTTATCTCTCTGCTCTTCTGTGTGCAGCATAGTTTTGTACTAGGCAAGGGATCCGTATCCTCTGCAAACATTTGTGTACCTTGTATCTCCTCAAATACACACCTGTGTATTCTGGGTATCAGCGATTCTTCATCTAGATCCATGGGGAGTATGATTTTTGCTTAGCTGTACTGGTTTCAAAATCTTTGATGTTGTTTTAACTGGGAATAATGAACACTATCTGTTCTGGAGTAATTCTGAGTATTTGCTATTCAACCTCAAGAAAAAAAAAAATAGCATGGGGCCCTAACCCCATATAATGCTGTGTGCATTAGGACACCCCATGTTGTCACCACTGCTTCAAAGAACTGACCAACAAGTGGACAGGATGCTTGCTCACAGTAAGCAAGTGCTTGGCAGCAACAAGCAACGCTAAGGTGTGCTTCTCACGTTCCCCGTCCCCTGGAGCTGCAGGGAGCCAGCTTGCTGCCTCGTAGACCATAAACCTGGGTGATTATACCAGTCACAGAAGTGCTTTTTTAAATCTTTACTTATTTAGGGGTGGTGGGAACGTGATATGTTCTGGCACTGCCACATAGTTGAAACCTAAGTCCCTGCCTGCTCCTCTAGGAAGGCTGAGGAGCAGGATGCGTCGATGTGGCTGTATCAGCTTCATGCCTGAGGCTCCCTGTCTATCCCTGCAGCTTTCTGACTGCCTGGGCCCTGCCTCGTCAGACTGGGCTCCAGGGAGAAGGAGTGAAGATCAGGCTCCTTTGCATTTTATTTTAATTTGTCATGTTCCTTTAGGACATGTGATGATTACCATTTATAGCTAAAGCAATGTCAACAACTTTCAAGTCAAGCTTCCTAACAAGATATAAGCTAAGCAAAAAAAAAAACAACCCAAACCACAACACAACCACAAAACTACTTCCTTGTGGATATAGATCAAGAAACAATCCCTGATTCCAAAATCCTACTACAAAGGCCTTAATCTTCTGCCTGACATGATATCAAGTGATTTGTGGAGGTACAGATCCCTTTATCTCCTAGGTAACTTAATTTACCGAAACGGGGAAATTAGCTTTCTACTAACTTCAGTAACACTGCTATTTATGGCAGTATTATCTGCAAGGGGTCATTAGCGATTTCTGATGCCGAGCTGTTAAGAGGGAAAGGGGCAGACTAATCTGAGTTTGCCAGAAAACTAATGACAACTGACACAGCACACAAGGACGCACCGTGTTGCTGGTCACTTTTATGGTTTAAATTCCCAAGTGCATCTAAAACCAGAAGTAGTCCCCAGAAATTAATGCATTCTTTTCTTTCATGTTAGGGCATTGAGAACATTTAAAACTGTTGAAGTGCTGAAAAAAATGCAGCAGATGAAATATTTGAAAGATGCAGGTATCTAACCTGGCTTTTAGCATCGGGTGAACCAGATGAGTCCTGTTCAAGCTGGGTCCTTACTGAAGTGTTAGGATGGCACACTTACAGGCTGAGCATGTGTCCCATGGAAATTAAAAGCACTGAGTGCATCACGGGCGTTATTATATACACAGAGGGTTGCACAGTTTGAGTGACTGGATTAGTCCTTCTGTTTCTCCGGCTGCAAAGGCTGCAGATCATCCAAGGAAGATCGAAAGGAAGATATTCCACCTCTTCATCTCATCTCCAGATAGTAGTGAAAGCCTTTAAAACATCTACTTTTTGTAAATGAGCTTCTATGCATGTGGGTGCTACCAGTTTCCCAGTGCTCCCTTAGGCAAGCGCTGGTTGGGCTCACGTACAAAACCCCTGCGTGTGCAGGTTTTCAAATATGCATCCCTGAGAGCCAGGATCGGCATGGGAAGAGTGAGAGACCATAAAGGAAAGTTTGATTTTCTAATATTCTGAGAAACCTAAGACAGAATGGAGCTGAATCATCAAGTTATTTTGTAAAGAAATTTTAGCAAGGTAAACTAATGTTTTTGCTTCTTGCTTACCCAAAGCACTGGAATAAATTTTCAAGTTGCCTCTGTCTTTTGTAGATTCTTCATGAGTACAGCATCAACCTAACTGAAGAGGAGTTATTTAACATTTTGGAATATTATGATAAAACTTTGTCTTCAAAAATATCCTACAACGATTTTCTCCGGGCATTCATACAGTAGGATTTGGTCAAATGCAGGAAACTGTAGATAAAGACAGTGACTGATTTATCATTTCAAATTTCAAACTAATAAATTAATTGAGTATGGCTTTTTTTATATCTATTCATTAGAAAACTCAAAATACTTTAAAATTCTGACAGCAGTCCCATGCTCTGGATTAAATCTACACAGTGAGGGAATTAATTTTGCATAATCCATTTATCAAAAAAGAAAGAGACAACAATTAACATTGTCAAAATAATGTTTCCTAAGACGTCTCCAAAAGCAATTCATTTAAGGAAATTCTTTTTTTTTTTTTTAATTTTATGCATTTTATTAATGACATACTCTTTACTTCAGTAAAAAGGTTTACAAGACATACTATTGAATTTCCCCAATTGTCATTTTCCAAATGTATTACTTTTTGGAAAAGACCTCTAAGATCAAGTCCAACTGTTCATCTAAAACTGCCATTCCACCACTAAACCATGTCCTAAGCACCTTGTCTACCCCTTTTAAATACCTCCGGGGATGGGGACTCAACCACTTCCCCGGGCAGCCCATTCCAATGCTTAATAACACTGTCTGTGAAGAAATTTTCCCTAATGTCCAACCTAAAACTCCCCTGGCACAATTTGAGGCCATTTCCTCTTTCCTATTGCCTGTTACCAAGGAGGAGAGACCAACACCCACCTCACAGCAGACTCCTTTCAGGTACTTGCAGAAGGCAATCAGGTCTCCCCTCAGCCTCCTCTCCTCCAGGCTAAACAACCCCAGTCCCCTCAGCCGCTCCTCATCAGACTTGTGCTCCAGACCCCTCACCAGCTTTGTGGCTCTCCTCTGGACACGTTCCAGCCACGCAACGTCTTTCTTGTAGTGAGGGGCCCAAAACTGAACTCAGTATTCAAGGTGCAGCCTCACCAGCACCGAGTACAGGGGCACGATCACTTCCCTACTCCTGCTGGCCACACTATTCCTGGTACAAGCCAGGATGCCATTGGCCTTCTTGGCCACCTGGGCACACTGCTGGCTCATATTCAGCCAGCTGTTAACCTGTCACGGATGGAGTGAGAGGGAGGGAAAAATAATGTGGTTTATTGGTGTAAAACAGTGAGTTAACAAAGTTCAGTGGTAAATGCGACAATAGTTTATAAGATTCTATGGCAAGGTAGACTTTGTTATTTACCGCACAGAGGACAGGGTCAAGACAAAACTGTCAGGGAGACCCTCCCGTTGAGTCATGAGGCTGAGAAAAGATCCCCTTGCTTTCTAAACTCCCTCAGAGAGGAGTCTAGGTGCAGCTGGATCCAATCCTAGGCCCAGACTTGGTCAACGGTTTATGTCTAAAGGATTATACACGCGCAATCAATCTTTTATGTCACTTAGCTAAGATTTCCAAGTTAGCATGCTGTTAGTCACTTACCGAGAATCTGTTGTGGTAAGGAATCTCCCAGCCTCAAGGAGTAACCTTGAGAGGCGTCCCTGCTCAAGGGGAGATCCTGGCGTGCAGCCCGCTGCTGTACAGGAGAGCTCAAAGGGCTTTTGGGCTGCTCACTATTTATGGGGGTAAGATAATTGGCTCATAGTCATATTTGCATGCTGACCACTGTGCTTAGGTAGGCACATTCCACAATAGCCCTTGGCTATTGTATTATTGCCTGTCTCCCCCCACATCCAGTGGGTGCATCCTTCATGACCAGACACATCTATCACCACGGCCACAGGTGGTTATCACTTGAAAGATGTCAAAGGAAGGGGGCTCTCCCCAAAGCCTGTAGCGCTGCATGGGGTTGTTGTGACCAACGTGCAGGACCCGGCACTTGGCCTCATTGAACCTCGTACAGTTGGTCTTGCACCATCGCTCCAGCCTGTCCAGGTCCCTCTGCAGAGCCCTCCTCCCCTCGAGCAGATCAACACTACCACCCAGTTTGGTGTCATCTGCAAACTTACTGAGGGCACACTCAATCCCCTCATCCAGGTCGTCGATAAAAATATTAAACAAGACCGGCCCTAGAACTGAGCCCTGGGGGACACCGCTTGTGACCGAGCACCAACTGAATTTAACTTGCAGTGCCATACATGTATTGTCAAAGACAGGTTAATCTGGACCGGCCACTGAAATCTGAGCAGATGCCACCTGTGTGTGGACACCACACCTTTCTCTGTCAAAACTGTTCTACATTCTTCAGCACAGTTTAGAAGAGAAGCTACTTTGCCAATGAGCATTGGCTTCTTAACTGCAGAGAAATATTCCCCATGTTAGCCATGAGGCTTACCTTTTTCAAGGATACTCTCTCTATATATTTATACAATAAACAGTAAATTGCAAGTAAAACCTCTGGTTAGATTTCCCAGTTCTAGAAAAATTCTCTTTGAACATCTTGTGAGGTGCTCAGATCTTGGTGAGGAAATGGAAAGATAATTGTTTGACTGTTGAATTCCTGTTATAATTAAAGGATAATATGATCAGCAGAGCCTGCTTTCTGGCAACTAAATACTTACCTGCTCTGAAGAACTGTTAGGTAAATATTTCTTTGCTCAGTTCCTGAATTAGCTTTCATTAGTACACCAAAGAGCCCTGTCCTCATCACCTGAGCTGATTTGGTATCTTTCTTTCTCCCAAGTAATATATAAAGATAAGTCAGCAAAGATTAATAAAACAAAAAAAAAGAGAGCAAGTTATGGGTGTAAAAACACACGTGTGCACATGCACACATACACACACACCCCCCCTTTCTATCAAGGGAAGTCTTTGGCATGAGAAGGGGTAGAAGAACATAATCTTCTTTTTCTTATTATTTCTAGTGAATGTGTGAACCACTACAATGAATCTGAAAGATTCCCAGTGCAGAATACTTTAATGCATGAGGTTTTTTTCTGAGAAATTGTTTCTTTGCATTTGGGGCTTTTCAGGAGATATTTTGCAGATTTTGAGTAAAAAGCATTGGGGAGGTTTCAGGTTGGACGTTCTGTATTGTTTCTCTTTTAGTTTCTAAGATTTGTGTAATTTGTACTCTACTATAAAACAAATACATTTGGAATTGCATATATCTGAAATAGTAATGTAAAAGACTCTTGCTAGACTTTTTTCCAAAATTGATAGTTATCTGTAAGTCCCTGAAATTGCTGCTGAGATATTTGATTAACAGAGGAGACTGACACTACCGTTATTTAAGGAACTTCTCCCATGCTACATCAATACAAAAATTCCTAGTTCCATTAATAGAAAACAGTGGGTTCTAAGAACACACATACATATGTCAGCAAGTGGCCAAAAAGTGCTGGTCCTGATTCAGCAGCCTGAACACAGGCACGGGTCAGTTATTCCCACCTGGCCTCCCCAGTAGGTCCTTGTGCCAACACCATCCAGCCCCACAGGGATGTCTCCAGCGTCGAAGGCATCAGACTGCAGTAGGTAACTGGGCTTCAGCAACAGATCTGAGCCCAAGAGGGGTTCAGTTTAGCCCCACTTAAAATCAAAATTAGCTTTTTTTTTTTTGTTTCATTTTATCCTCATAGCTGGTGTGAAGCCTCAAACTGCTCTCTTCCTTAATGGCATATTCCTTAATTCATATTAATTAAAGAATTAATTGCTATTTGGAATACCTAAGATTATAAAACAAATATTACATTAATTATTTTTAAAAGAGTGGATTTTGCTGTACTGATCTAACCAAGGAGAAAAAAAAATAAACTACGTAAGTGATTATTGCATAGAGTTGGTTGTGATTTTTGGCTGGTTGTTCCCTCCTTCCCCCCCCCCCAAAAAAAATCTCCTATACCTCCTGTTTGATAATTGGGTCCAATTTTATATCACATGCAATAGGATTTCCATCCCCGTACTGCTTTCTGGCACAGAGCGTGGCTACTGCGTTTCACGAAGGGATGCAGGAGTTGTATCCCTTGCTCCATTTTCAAGACACGGGCTGCCTTCAGGAGAGGCGAGGGGGCACCTCCAGGTTTCCTGACACATCCTGGCAGAGGATTTTTCATTAGTTCAACTGGCAGGAGTATCAAATCCAACAACTCCGAAGGGATTAAAGAACAATCTTTTCGCTGTACAAACAAATCAAATCATGCTGGCTTTTTTAGTGAGTTCTTAAAGGCAGGGATGGCACTTACCAACTGTTTATCCAACCTCGGAAAGAAACCCGAACTGAATTTCAACTGCCAGCATTTTGAAATCGCTGAGGTGATTTTTCATATTAAAATCACAAACTGCTGGATGGATAAACTTTGTAATAGAAGAGGGGTTTATTTTTTTGGCAGCCGTTCCCCCCGTGCCCAAGGGTCAGCCACCCAGCCAGGAGGGGCTGGCAGAGATCCCTTGTATTTCCACTCCAAGGCAGGTAACGTCAGCGGGATTGAGCATTACCCCAGGGTAATGGTCTCCCGCTGCTGCATGCAAACGCTGCGGCAAAGCTGAGGCAGTTAGGAAAACAAAAACATCAGCGCAAAGCTAAGAAATTTCATTTCCAAGCAGAGGATGTTGATCCCCTGCCTGCTCAGGATCGCCATGTTCTCCGTCATCCCTGGAGCAGCAGCATGGGCACAGGGACACGGGGACACCGCCCCAGCTGCCGCCACGCTGCCCTTGACCTGCTGGGCCGCTGCTTTGGGTGGGAGGTGAGGAACACAATGCCCCGGAGGGATTTTGGCAGCGTGGGTCCCTGCCAGCGCTCCCTGCGGTGCGGCAGGTGCTGCCCCCGAAACACAGCAGCAGGCGACGGCCTCCTCCCTGCCCCTCGCCAGCCATCAAGCCACAGGGAGCCATCGCTGGCTGTTCCCTCCAGACGTGCCTCTTCTGGGCTCAGCGGAGAAAAGCCCTTGAGCAGGGTCTCCCGCCTCCCTCCCCCAGGGCCCTGTCGCAGGCGGTGGGAAAGGAGGGGTGGGCCCTCACCCGTGGCAGCTGGGGCATGGCCTCCTGGCTGCAGCCCAGCCCTTGCGCTCGGCTTTGTGGCAGGCTGCCATCAACACCTGACTGGGCGAATCACGCTTAACACTGTCAGGCATCCCGCGGG